TATTTAATAACTGAAAGTATCAATAAAGGAATTTAAATGTTTTAAATTAATTTGTTTTTTTTTTTAACTGTTGTAACGTTAGCTGCTCAACTGAGCCAAAACCCAGTGTTGTTCGCTGCCATATTATTTTCATTATTGGCACGCAATGAATCTTGGGATAGGTTGGGGCATGACGGATCCACCTTTTGGAGCCTTTGTTGCCTAGGAAAAGAAGGCCGCATTTCTCAACCGAACTAGAAGGAGCCTTCGAAATGAGACAGCCTAGTTGCACCTCTGTGATGCAATTGGACACAGCTTATTTTTGTTTGAACAAAAATGGAATAAATCATTAGAAATATATTAATCCTTATAAATACATTTAGTATAATCCTCATCATATTTTATACAGAGACACACATACGCTCTTATTCTATAATGAGCTTCCCCAGTGATAAAGCTGTTTGAGCATTTCAAAACTCTTTGGTCCCATTTTTAAATCGTTAATTTTACCAGCATTACATTATAAAATAATGCAACGAATTTCCCGCTCACACACTGTCAGTGAGTGCAGGTTTTCTGGCTCCAGCTAGGCTGATGGTAACTGCTGAGTAAGGTGAGCCTGTCAGTAGCTGCTGAGCGTCTATTATATAAAGCTCCCCTGACTGTACTCTGGCTGTTCTTGAATTTTTCCATCGGACTGTTTGTTAATCAGACATTAATAACAGAGGAAACTGGGGATTAAGTGCTCTGCATTTTGTAGTAATGAAGAACTCCCAAAAAAAAGTACAAAAACAGGAACTGACCTTGAGTCTTCCTGCTGGCTGTGTGTGTGTGTGTGTGTGTGTGTGTGTGTGTGTGTGTGAGGTTATACAATTCTGCTTCCTCTGAGCCAAATCAGGTGGACAAAGCTTTGTGTGCGTGTGTGTGTGTGTGTGTGCGTGCATGTGTGTGCTCGTGTGTGTGTGTGTGTGTGGTAGCTGGAATGTACATAGGAGGCATGGGAGTTCCTATGTGTTGAAACTGTCTGTCATGGTCCTGACTGTTACTGGCTCCACTCACAACAGTACACAGGATATTATCATCACACAGTGGTGGCAGAACAGAGGGTGATGATTAAGTACGAACCCTGCAAACAGGTCTAGTGATGATATTAACACTACGAATATGAATCTAAGCGCACACCCACACTGACATTGTTAACATTGACTGCACTCATACATTACATGCAGAGAGTGATAATGAGACAGATATGATACCAAACACTGTTATCGGCACCAAGTAAAGCTGTGCTGTCAAATCACTTTACATATGAACACAACAGTTTAATCTGTCATGGCACAAGCAGAACAGAAATCTAGATTACACAGAAAAACAGTCTGTTTTCAAGTGAATCTAACACTTGCATAATAATTTGCAAATTCGTGTTACCCATCAGGGTCACATATCCAGGTCAAATGCACAACAAAAATGTGAGCCAATAACCAGCAGCTGGTAACACGCAGATTGATATTTTAAAATATTTTGCAGATATTTTCCTTCTTAAAACTTAATGAGCCATAACTGACACATGAGGTGGTCACTTCTTATTTTGTAGTCTCTGCAGATGTGGCCATGGATGGGGATGGTCAAGGTTCAGTGCTGGGTGTGGGAAGGACCTGTTTGTGTGTATGTGATGACTAATGACTATTACAATTAAATTTCATTTTAACAAGACAAAGAGTTAACAGCCGGGCTGGCTGCTCTGTGAGGCTGTACTTTTGCACAGCAATGTTATGAGCTAAATGCTAATGTCAGCATGCTAACATGCCCAGAATTACAATAGGTGTAATGTTTATCTCATTTGACATTTGGCCAAGATTTTAAGAAGGACTTATAAACGTTTCTAAGACGATCTGTAATCTTTTCAAGGGGAACAGTTTCATTTCATTTTCATTGATTTAAAAATAGCATCTGGTTGTAGAGAGATATGCAGACTTCCATATCTAATGCTATTTTTAAAAATCTTTTATATTCTATTACAAATAGAACAATATTTGCACAATTCTCCAATGAACTGAATTCTGGCTCCAGTGGGAGCTTAGTTCCTCTGATTTCCAGTAAGTTACAGAGATCATGTCAGAAAGAAAACTTTTATTACACAGCACAGAAAAGAGCCTCCTGCAATCCTGTATCTGAAACCCATCTCAGTTAATGCAGGTCTGGATTTAGCTTCTAGCTTCTGAGGTGAGAGAGAGAGTGGTGAAGGAGGTTGTTATTTTGTCGTATAGACTGTAGAAGAAGAAACGTCAGAGGATGACCAAAAGCAGTAGGATTCATCCTCTGGGGACCATGAATGTCTGTACAACATTTCATGGCAAGCAAACCAATAGGTGCTGAGAGATTTCACTTTGGATCAAATTGGCGGACCAACCAATCAACTGACCAGCGAAACAGCGTCGCAATTCCTAGATTTAGCACGGCTAAAACAATATTAATATTTGCACAACATTTCCTTGTTGCAGTTTAATTTTAGCACTTGCACAGTGTTTGTTCTACAGAAGGGAGACAGGCCTATTTTTAGCAGTGTTGAGTGTGATGCTGGTAATGCATTTTCCTGGACAGACGGTAATAAAGGTAAGCTGACATCCGCTGTAGGCTTAATTCATAGATGTTTTCTAGCATCCCGGGAGGAAAACCAACACTGATACCACAGCAGGAAATTGGGAGTTGTGGTCTTAGCAGAGAATGTAAAAGGCAAAGGTACAATGAGAGCTGGGGGGACACATGTTCCCGCCACTGACAGCGGTGATTTTACTTCCAGCTATTCTTGTTAATAGGATGTAGTGGAAGTGGTAGGAACAAAGCAGCGAGCGCTATGTGGTTTAAAAAAAAGAACTCTCCTGTGCTGCGTGTCTTCTCTGTCAGAACCAGAGGATAAGCACACATACAAATACATTGAATGCATTTTCACAAGAAGTGTTTTGATCAACCACATTCACACAGACATGCATATATATAACAACCTGCTGACGTCATCGCCCCCACCAACCTTCCTCATTGTGGAGCAGAGCAGAGAAGAGCAGGGTGACTCTGACCCACTTTCATCCTGCCATGACCCACATCCTGATTCACTTCCTCTGTCCTCTGCCTGTGTGGCACACACTCTAATCCACACACTCTACTCGCACTTAAGAGGGAGAGGTCGCCAGCTAACTGGGCCAATGCTTGTGTAAGTGGCTTATTACACTGAGAATGTTTGGTCTGGAGCTGGACTGTGAGCGGTCACAGCTGAGTAGTGGGATTTGAAGAGAAAACAAAACTTGGGAGTTGCTGGATCTACCAAATTTCTGCTGAACTTTTCCCCCCAGTCTGCACATACAGATCTAATAAACTGTAAATCAGGAGGAGCATAATTCAATCCATCAGCAGGCTGCTCGGCTCCAATACCGCTGTCCTTGTTTGACACTCGAAAGTGATTTTAAAGTGCAAATCTTGCAGACATACTGTAAAGAATGAAAATGGAACAGACACATCAGCCAGAAGCAAAAGTAAAAATTAATGACAGACGCTCAAGTTGGCTGGTTTGAACTTCCTACAATAATCATGTGACACTGAACACAAAAAAACAAAACAAAAAACAATTGAGGCAATCCAAATGTTACACATGTAAACTATGCTATTGTAACCTTACATTCACCTTCTCTCTTGGACAACAGCAACAAGGAACAAAACACAGAGGTATTTTTCTTTAGCTGCTCTGACAGCTAAAAAAAAAGCACATGCTGCAGTGTTTCCTGTGGGAGATTCTCTGGTGCCGACGGTCCTCGCTGACAATGACCCCTATCTCTGTTTGATGACCTGGGATGCTAACTGGAATGTGTCACATTTGCAAGTCAGCACCAAAGACTTCGAATCACGAAGAAGAAACAAAAACAGGAAGTGCACAGAATAACAGTAACACAGTGGTGCTGTTCGAGGCTGGATTGGATTGGATTTTGTGAAAGGGATAATACCCGAGGAGGTGTAAGTTTTATGATTGTAATGGATGATGGGAGAGTAAGATATTAACCTTTACTTGTGCCAGAGTAGACTCTGATTGGCTGGAAGTTGTGGAATAACTGTTAGTAAGTTGACAGTGAAACACCTATGATACAGAAACTCATGGAGGTAGGAGACAGTAGGCAGTCAAAACGCTGGATGGATTATCTGAAACTAAAAGGTTGAAACACAGACCTTGTTAAAGTTAATCCACACCTCTCAGCCAATCAGAATCTAGAACTGTCAGAGGCCATGATAGCCCGTTCTTTGATCCACCTCTTGTTTAACACGTGCACATACACTCAAAGATTAATTATTGACACATGGGGTCAAACGCTTCATTGGTAGAAAGGCAAAGTGTATGTAGACCTCATTATTGTATCGGGATCATTAACAAGAGGGCAAGCAAGCAATATTTCAACATCATTATCAACATCGTACCATAAATAGTAGGTTTACTTACTCTTTCTATTTACTCGTTAGTTTTCAAATTAAGATTTTACATTAAAAAACATATGAGAATCTTACAAAGATCAAAGCATGGTTAAGATTAAATCAGTGATGCACAACAACAGACATGAACCCTGTGGCCTTGTTTGCTTGGTTTGAACTGTGCAGATCTCCTGGTGTGTGTTCGCTGTGAGTGGAAAATTTCTTTGGTTTTGCCGCCACCTGGTGTTCACACTGTGGAACTGCAAATGTTTCTCCATTTCTAGACATGTACGAAAACTACAGAGGAAAAGTTAATTCCAAGTTAGTTCTCTCCTAAACTGATGGGAGAGCCAGACATTTATCTCTGTTAATTTTTTACTGCCTGCATTTCCTGCTACGGTGGCCCTGAGAGCCCAGTCCAGTGCAACACTTGGGTAAAACACAAGCAATCATTGAAAACATCTCAATCAATACAAATGTTTTTTTCTGAACATTGTGTGCATGTTTCCAAATGTATGATAGGTTTTGATTTGATTGTGTTTTGTCTGTCCGCATGTGTTTCCTGAAGCTGTTTAGATGATGAGAGGATTGTCAAACGTCGTGATTCCACGCATCAATCCTGCATCGTCGTATTCGGTGCTCTTTGACCTTAAAATGTGACCAGCAACCTCATTGAGGACCATCTCTTGTCCATGCCTGCACGGAGACACAGATGCATCATGGTTAAAAGGTTAGACACTCTCTTCGTGATTCAGGCGATCTACACATTTATGTGTCTCTGTCTCGACTGTGTTGTACCTCACATAGGCTCCAAAAACTCCTATTTCATAGCAAATAGAGGTGAGCTTGAGTGGAAGTCCTTTCTTCAGCAGGATGTTTTGTTCGATCCTGGGTCGGATCCTGTCCATCAGAATATAAGCAGCTCTCCTTTCATCACCTTTAACCTCCTGTAGAACTCGGACAATGTCCTCTCCAAAATAATTGTTCCCTGAAGTCGGAAAGCGGAGACATGTGAGGTCATGTGAAGTCAGTGTTACAGTCAGTGACTTATAACGATGTAAAGATCTATTTGAAATTCAGGAAACTGTATCCCAGTAACATGCGGTATGAGGGATGTTCATCAAATGGAAATGGACATGTGAAGCATCTCAAAGAACATGTCAGACAGCACCAACACATGTCACACACCAGCTTTTTCAGAAGGTGTGCTGATGTCATCTTACCTCCTCCTTCTCTCTGAGGCTTCAGGACAAACTTGTCTGGGTTGGCCAAAGCCATGGCCACAGTCCGGTCTCCCTCTGGACCCTGGTGTGAAAAACTTTTTATTCTCATTCTAGTTTTGTGACAAACACATAATCATTCCTGTGTGAAGAATGTCTTTCAGGACACCAACTGGACCAGCACCAGCTTTTATGCTGTAAGTGAACACACATGTTTTAGCCTCAGACAGACCCAGACTCAGATGAGGAGTCTGTTGTGACCAAAATCAGAGACTAGCAGACATATCAGAGCGGTTAGCATAGTTAGCATCTTATATTTGTGTATGTCATTTGATAGCTTCTAACTGTTAGTGGCTGACATAGTGTTAGTGGTTGTGCTAATGCAAACTCTTGCTCTCTGTACTGACAAGGTTTCAGGTTTCAGATGTCTTATTTGGCAAATTCAATTCTTCTGTCCTTACGAATCCTAGTATCTCATGTGGCCTTATCACCTCTTCTGTAACAGATAAAACTGTGCATGTATGTGTGGGTCAGACTCTTACCATGTCTAAAGTGTAGAGGCCGGCGAACGTCGCTCTGATCTGCTCCACTACCTGAGGCTGGTCGGGGAAGAACCTCTCCAGGACTCCAGGTCTTGCGAGCACCTGCTGGACCTTCTTGGTTCCTGCCAGGTGAGTGCTGATGTCTGGGCACTTCACAGCCAGAGAGCGCTCCATGAGAAGACGAGCGTCCCAAGTCTGCACCATACATAAGTTCTGTGTTAGAAATGATTCACAGCTGGAAACGTTCCTTTCCATTGAATTAATGAATGAATTAATCTTTTTCCTTTTTTTTTTTTTTTAAAGAAAAATACAAATATGTTCAGAGCAACACACACAACACACACAACACACACAACACACACAACACACACACAACACACACAACACAACACTTCAGGAAGTTAAAAAACTAAATATCAAAATCAGATCACTTATGCTGAAAAGCATAAGGTCCAGAGAACCTGATGACCGGTCACACCTCTGGATGAGCTTCTGTTCTACTAGGTCTCACTTTTATTTTGTTATTTTGCATGTTGTTGAGTTTGTTTTGAAGACTTTCTGCCCCCTGGTGGCCAAAAATTGTTTAATGCAGCTTTAAAGCTGCCCCAGTCCTTTTTTTTTATCATAAACACTGGATGCATAATGTGAGAAGTGCTGCTGAAAAAGATGAACCCGCAAAAAATTATCACTCAACTCTGCAGTTCACACCTGCCCAACACCGACGTCAGACAGACACATTTAACAGTGGAGCCAGAAATTTCCCTCGGGAGTTTATTAAAGAGCAAAACAGAGCTAAGAGGAGAGTGAGTGGTGGCCTTGAATCTGCTGCATGTGCAAATAAGGACGTGTTCAACTGTTCAAATCTATAAGGTGACAATGTGTCAGTATTTGTGTTTACAGCTTGGTTCTGCTGCTCAGAAGTTGCCAAAAAAAATGGGTTAATTCAGCTTAAAAGTAACACAGATATTAAGGAATATTCATATCTTACCTGCTCAGTGTAGTGCTCTGGCATGTAGCCGTAGCGGTAGTAAACAACAGCTACCTCCAATCCATCTCTGCAGAGTTAGAGTTTGTGAGACCTGTTAGCAATGTCCTCAGCAGAGCTAAAGGAGATGATCAACTGTGGCTTTGTCAAAATACTACAACTGTTGAGAGGCTCAAAATCAAAATGACAGTTTAAAGAATAGTCCTGCAGTAGGTGAGGAATGACCAATATCAGTCTGTTAGCTGTGCTATAGCCAGCAGGAATTTAGCTTAGCTTAGCTTATAGACTGGAAACGGGGGGAAACAGCTAGCCTGACCTACCAGGACCTCTAAAGCTCACTAACTAACATGTTATAGCTCTGACCACTTACTGAGGTCGCCCAGTAAAACAGTTTCAGCACGTAACCATGACAACTTCCATCCCCTTGTTCTTTGACTAATCGTCCTGTATTTATTGTTTTGTTTCCCTCGTCCTGTTCATGTTCTGTCTTTGAAAAGAAAAAAAAAAAAAATACCGTTCTAATAAAAACCCTTCTAAAACCACAAATGATCATTTTTACATTTTGCATGCAGGCACTACATTCATTATAAAGCATACAGACGTGTGTGTGGTATCCATCTTCTCATCTAACTCGGTACGAAAGTGGGTTGGCATATAGCAACAAAACAAAACTATTCCTTTTAAGAACCTTAAACTATAAACCACGATCCCTCTCTGTCATTCAAAATTCAACTGCAAATGTTTCACATCTTTTAAAAATGCACTCACATAAACAATCTTTTGTCGGCATCGAGAGATCCTCTTCTCGACACCTCGTCAAACCTTCTGTGGACAACAGGAATATTCCTGCACAGAAAGAGGGAAAGTAATTTTCTTCATACACAAAATGTTATCTGAAGAGTTGAGACTGAGAAATTAGAAAATGTTGTGTTTCATTTTGACATATAACAACTTAAAGTATCTTATAAATCCTCCGTGCTTACCTGTTCCAAAGCTCCCTCTCGATGGTCCGATGGCTGAGTTTGCTCAACTGGACCTCCTCAACCAGAAACAGAATCACTGCCCTGCAGGACGAGAATCAAGATTATTGCTCATTTGTTGATATTATTCAGTCAAGGATAAAGATAACATGCACTCAAAAATAGCTAATCTCTTCCTCAGGGGTAAAATATTATCATTCTACTTTACAACCACGTTGCTACTAAACGAATCAATGAAAATAACACTGACTGTTATTGGACAGTGTGATAATTATTTTACTCTGGGAAACAGAAAATGTAATGAAATATTAGTTCAATGTTTTTCACACTTTACTCTAGAGATTTAATTTAGGATGACCAAGAAATCAAATCAAATTAACAAGTACTGAAAATACATGGGGTAATAGAAAAAACTAGAATTACCACCTCGTGGTTGTATGTCTCTGCCAAGCAGTCAAATTGCACTTTACATCCACATCTGTCCAGATTCATATAATATACAGAATGTAATGATGACTTTAATAAAAGGAAGGAATTTAATAAAAGAAAAAGTGAAAGTGAATTCTTGAGTTATGGCTCAAAACATGTTTGTGAGTTCACAGTGACCTTGACCTTTGACTCTCAAAATCTAATCAGTTCATCTTTGAGGTCTTTCTAATATATCGCATTCATGAGAATGTGATGGACTCACAATTTGAAAACATTTTGGGTTCTGTTTTAACGATCTAAATTCATGGAGCAAGTGCATTTAGTCCAGATCTACTTTTGCTAGTTTAAAAGCAGAAAAAAATGGTCACAGTGCCAGGTGCACAGTTCAAAAGGATTGTACTAAGTCTCTTAATTAATCAATCACGCTATAATCCAATCAGAGTGCCATCTTCCTCCACCTTGGCGGATTGCGACAACAGAGGATTTGCTGGGTAGTAAGAAAACATGCTTCTCTGCAGAGGACTTGTGTTATTGTGTGGTTATCATATGTGATCAACCTAAACCTGCATTTCTCTGGCTGTGACATCTTCTGTTCTTCTAACTGTTCTGTTGAAACACTTACACGTCACATACAGATCACATATATGTTGACCTCAACCTCTGCACTTACTTGTGCTGTCCGTAGAGCTCCCAGGCCTTGGCGAGAGCGGCACTCATTCGAGGAGTCCTGCTGGTGTCCTGGATACACTTGCTCTCTTCCAACAGACCAACTGACTTCATCGTGTGCCTGACACATTGAGAGGGCGAGATGAGCGGGGCATGATCATGGTTGAGTTTATCCGACGCTGCTCTCACCATTTGTAAATTTCGTAAATTCCTCTTAACAGCAAACATACACTTTACATAGTCAACATACCACCCCACTCGGTTAAATTAAACCTAATTGATCAACAGGTCCTCCTCACGCACCTGTGCACAACAGAGAGGCGGTCAGATACGCCAAAACCACCGACAGCAATAGTGTTGATCTCTATTTGCTTCAGGGACGACGTTCGATCCGCCCTCTGATCCACCATGTAGTCAGACCGGTTCAGTCCCACCACTATGGACTGGTAAGTAGAAGATTCACAATTCACTTACAAACTCAAATGTCACTAATAAAATTAATTAAAATGATGACTAATAAATCATTTCAATCTGTATGATCTCATTTTGATCTTTGGGGAGTGTTTAGTTTAATTACTCTATTTTAGTCTCAGCCTGACAGAAACCTTCACCCACTCATTTGCACTGAGAAATGATTGAATTGGCTAACCTGAAATTATATATATATATATATATAATAGTCCCTGACACATTAACATAGAGAATTAGGTCTCCAGTAGGAACCATTGCTGTTGGGACTGACTGTCTCAAATATTGTAGGAAAGTCAGTAAATGCTAAAATACATTGTTTGTTTTGGTCTTTACGGGATGTTTGTTGGCTGTAAGGAAAATGTCAAATGACAATTATCTTTATCCTAAGAGAGAAAATGGTGTTTCAAAGCCAGGTTACCGAAACATTGTTGACATTATAAATGGAGTTTCTTACCTGTGTCCGATCCTCCTGCTGCACTTTTCTGTATATGTCAAACAACTTGGCTATGAAATCATCTGCCTGGATAGTCCTGTGATGCAGAAGAAGAGAAATCATCAAACAATACACCTCAGTGAACTTTTGTATTCATCACCTTGCAAATCACGGCAGGTAAAGGCAGTTTACATGGGAGCATAATTAATTGAACTTGCACATGGTTTTAGTAAAAAAAAGGCTTCAACAATCAACACAATTTTCTAATTCATGTCATCATCCTTCTTTTATACCCGTCAAGAGCCTCTTCCAGAAAGTCTGGGTCCTGGCTGATCTTGTCCACCAGTGTGTTAAAGTGAGTGTGCACTGCCAGAGCCTGGAGGAGGGTGGCTTTGGGCACAGGAGAGGGGAAGAGTGTGAACGGGGCAAAGCTAACGGCCTGAAAAGATGAAACAAATGTATTCACTCATTACGTTGAAGAAACAAAAAAAGATAGAGGAGTCAATATTTATTACTCAATAAATAATGAAGAAATTAAAATAAAAAAATTAATTATACATCTCTCATTTAAAAGTGAATATTGATGTAACATAATGTGATAAACAACAACAAACAATTTTACAGGACTTATTTGTAAGTTTTGCTATTGCTACATGGCCAACGTTAGCATAAACAGCTGTTTACTTAGCAGCCTTGCCAAGAGCTTCAGCCATTGTTGCGTTCATAAGACAAGAGGATATAATACGTCCTCTGAGCGGTGCTACTTCTTAAGGACAGGGTGGATGCTACAGTGACTCGCTATCGGAAAGTGACGAGACAGTCCGACCGGGCCTGGGCTAGCTGGTTAGCATGCTAACCTCAGTAGAAGAAAAGACGTGATGGCAATAAAAGCAAAACAAAAGGGTTGCTTTCCCCTGAGACAGCTCTTGGTGAGTAAAGGAACAAAGTTTGACATTGAACTCACAAACGTAGACTGGTAAGTCAACAGCTGCTAATGCTAACATTGGCTATGCAGCAATAAGAGAACGTATAAATTGCTCCTTTAAGCTCCTTCATTGATTTTTACTAGTGACTTTGATGTCTTTTTCTTCTTTTTTGACATGTCTGAAAATCCTAAAGTTGCATTTTCACCACTTGGGGGCAGAAGAAACATGTTGTAAACACACCAGTGACATTGTTGAAATGGATAAATTGGTAACTTTTGCTTAAATTCCTTCCAATGCTTGGTTTCCAAACCTATGGGATTCTACCTCTTATGTCACCCTCTAATGGAAACCAGTCACTAACATAAAATTAAAACAACTGAAGAATCTGTGTGGCTGCCCCTACCTCAGATGAATTGGGGGTCTCGGGTGTCCGTAATAAAATCCCATGTTGAAAAGCCATCTCTTTCGCTTCATCCACCAAACTGTTTAGTCTTTCAGCATTTGTGATCAGCTGCTCGAGAATTACTTTGGTTGCCATCGCTGTGGGCCTGAGGGATAAAACACAGCAAACCTTCGGGGAACAAATATACACATATGAATGAAAAGCAGAAGCAAAAACTCAGAGATCCACTTTAAAATAAAAGGACTCTGCTCCAGACAAGTTTAAATTAAGGGGTTAGAGAAGAAAGACAGAAAAGCAGATGGTAACTGCAGCTGTAATTATCACTGTGGTGGGTGTAACACATGACTTCAGGTGGGATTACAATCACTGACCAGCACAGGCAGTGTTAAAATCATCAGAGAAACCCCTCCAGTCCAAACAGGGCTTGAGCCACACAACACAAGCATCACACAAGAGCAGCAACATAACCAGTCGTATGATTTAATGTAGTGCAGTGTGTGCGGGGCTCAGGAGTTCCTGTCCTGTTACAAGTCAAAGTTAAAACCACGACGTTTGATGCGACCTGTAGGAGAAATAATCCCAATTTAAAACGCAGACAGTATTTTAGTTCCTGAGCCCTCAGATGCTGCTGGATGGTGGAGACGGTTCATAAAAATGAAACTAAGAACAGAATGAGGAGAAATTACATCGTGTGTCTTTCAGTCAGATTAATCTGCAAAACCTGAATCTAGGAATCTGACATTCAGATCATCATACATCTTCATCAGATCTTCACCAGTTGATGTGCATTCATTACATGATAGTAAACATTGGCTTACCTTGCTCAGCCACGAATACCTGTCAGTGTCACCGCACTTCTGAGAAAAAGGTGTTGAAGAGGCGACTAGCTTCAAAGTGGGACTCGGTCTTCCTCTGACATAGTGTAATTGTGTCTGCCTCCCCCATAACCAACCCAACCAGTCTCACTTCACAGGCCCTGAAGTCACAGTCTTCTCAGATCATCCAGTGCGATTTATACTTATGACAGTGTAAGTAATTAAATAAGTAGTTTAACTACATTTTGCAGTAACTTGATGGTAGTTCAACTAAATTCACTTACTACTACTTAAACAAATTTAGGGCCATAAAAGGAAAGATTTTTCTTTTAAATCAAAAATACATTTTTATTTTATGATTCTTTACTGTACTGAGCTTTCTGCACTGTAATTGAACTCCATTTCACCAGCCCCCAACCACTTGTGAAGGCATGCCCAGGCAATGCATTCTTCAGACAGGCTATCCCAAAAACCTGACATTTGTCTGGTGCACATGCAAAAACCAAGGGGGAGGGGTCGCTCAGTGCTCACACAGCTACAGCAACGTCATGGATAAACCTCCTGAAGCTCAGCTCGAGGAAGAATCATCATGGACATACCTCAGCGGTTACTGCAGACAAAGCAAAGCCGACATTGCAGTGTAAGGGAATCGGTAGCTTCCCCAACACTGACTGGTGCAGAAACAATCGCAGACGATGAGTGTGTGACTGTTTCACTGTTGTTGTTTCTTTTATTTTTCTTTATCTTGTATTAAACTGTCTACATGTTCAGTGGCAAGAAAAAGTCAGCGAACCCCTTTGGAATGAGCCGTTTTCTGCATTGATTGGTTATTATATGTGATCTGATCTTCATCTAAGTCACGAGTGTGAACAAACACAGTGTCCCTAAGCTAATACCACACAAACCATTATCACCTTTTGTGTCTTTATTGAACACAGTGTTGGAGTATTCCAGGATATTAAAGCTAAAACTGTTTAATGATTTATACTAGTGGATAAGTCGGTGCTAAGGGTGAGTGGTTCTTTAAACATCTGCCTCAGGGACACTATTTTCAACCACTGATAAAGATCGCTCTATGGGCATGTGTAGGGGGCAGCCGGAGGTAACAGAGGTAAATAAGTGGTAATTTATGTGTATACATTAACTCTCTTCCTTTTGGCGCGCTGAGCTTTAGGTTACACTCAAGGTCGGAGTCAGATGGGAAGGAGGAAGCCAGCAGAGCCAATCAGAAGACGACAAAACAAACAGCAAAAGCTCCTTCAATAGCCATTAAACATTCACACTGCTGGTAGGAAAAGTAGCTGAAGCCTTGTGTTTAATAACTGGTCAAACTTCCTTTGGGACCAATAACCTCAAACCAGCTCTTCCATTAGCTGCTGATCAGTATTTTGTGTGGTATTAATAATGCATTAATAGTATTAATGTGTGGTATCTAACATTTATGAATAATTGCTGAGTCACTGTTAAACTTGCTTTTGTAATAACTTACAATGGTCGTTGTAACCTTTAATGTCAAGACGATAAAGAATGCTTATTGTAAACTGTTATTACTGTAATTTGTTATTCTGATATTAATATGACCTTGACTGCATCACAGTTTGGTGTAATACGCTTTAAGGATTTAAGGATGTCCTTTGTCTGGGACCAGAATAAATATGACCCGATTAAATGAATTTAATTCGACACCGACTGATCACAGAGTTTGTTTTTTATTCATCACCTTCATCATATCTTTATATTTCCAGTTACAGTATTAACCCCAGAATGCACCACGAGAGGTCAAAATGAGTGAGTGAATGACCTGTGAAGTTTGGCCTGAGAGTCGAGCAGAGGGGGGCAGCTGTGGTGTGTGAGTCTGACCCTGAAACTTTGATGATGAGATATTCGACTTTCTGTTGCTGCAATTTCAATAGAAATATCATTCATGGTCACAGCTGGAGTGGCTCAGCTTTGACATTTCTTTGTCAAAAGAAATCCACTGTCACTGAAACGCAACATCTCCTGCATTCATAAGTTGTTTTCCCTTACTGTAAAAAAATACATACTTTTTAAAATATTTTTCTTATTATTATGAGTATTATGATTATTATTATTTATAGTAGTAATACTAGAAATACTGTAGCGGTAGCAATAGTAGCATTAGTATTATTACTTTCTGCATAATTACATGTACAGTTCACCACCCAGCTTCAAGCATCATCTGTTCTCATCAGTGTGAAGTCATGTGAAAGTCAAGTTTTTGTTAGTCGTCTGTCTCAACCATTAAAGCACTCAGCACAGTTCAGCTGATAAAAATAAGAAAATAAAGCCCATCAGTTGATGGAACAACAAAAACCGGCTGTTTAAGGACACTTGATTTTTTCTATACTTTCTTTTAAAAACTAGCAGTGCACAGTATTCCTGTTATTCCTGTTAACCTGGGCTTTTACTTGTAGAGTTTTTGCCATCATGATGATTGTTCTGTTTTAATGCAAGATGTCAAACTCCTGATAAAAGCCAAACTGCTCTTGAAAAGAGAGTCAAACTGGAGCAACCGCAAAACCATATAAAACATGAAAACACACGATGACTAAGCCTGAAAAACATCCAATTTTCCAATTATATAAATTACACAGAATCAAAACCTGAACATTAAAACTGTCAGAAAGCTGCCTGGAGGCTGCAGTGGTGTTGGACTGTGCTGAAATATGTTGTAAGATGTTTTTGATTTCTGAAACAGCTTTAACACAGAGTGTCTACACCGCTTTAGAAGAACCTCAGTGAAGATGTAGTAACAGAAGACTGACATAATATGGTGGTTTAGGCCCACACACCATATTTCTAACGTGAAGCTGAACAGAAATGTTCCAGTAAAGGAAAGAGATCATGTCGCTTAAAGAGAGACACTGAGGCTTTTAATTAAAATATTTTTAAAAATCTACTCTCATAAAATGACAAATTAGAGATAATTTATGATTCATTTTGCATTTAACAAAGAACCGATCGTCTCTTCATATAAGGAGAATTTACTGAACTGAGCATATTTTTATGTTAAAATTATGTTTTTAATCACTTACTGGCTTTAAGTTTTATAACTATCTAAAGCACTTGAGGGTGTATTTGAGAACTTTGAACAGAATCATCATCATGTCAAAAACATGGTCGTCTCTTTGGAGTCGCTGTCGCTACAAACACCAAGCTACATCAGAAGTCATACACGTTCGTCTACTGCATCAGCTCTGATAGCAGGAGGAGACCTGAATCATCCTCCAGGGGCGTGAGCGACAACTGAACCTGATCCGCGTCACAATAAATGACATATCTGCTCAGCCTCGTCTTCACACTGTAGCAGCCAAAGTTAAAATGTGACTCAAATGTGCCACCTTCATTTCGTCATTGTCCATTTGTGCATTTTTGTTTTGTTTTGTTTTTTTTTTGGTGAAAGCCCAGAAAGTAGGAACGTGTCAGACGAGGAGAGGATTGTCCAGCACGGCGACCCCTGCTGCTACGCCTCCGTCCGAGTGCTCCGAACTCTTGGTCCTCAGCAGATGGCCCACACACTCATTCATCACCATGTCTTTACCCTGCCTGTGAGCAAACGAGGAGAAACGACAGATAGAGAATTAAACAACAACATTAGCAGATGTGAGTTTTCATTCCGGCTCTTTTTGGATCTCTATTAACTAATCACAAGATCTGGCTCTTTAGTCGCTAAATGCTGCACTGTGTTCAGCAGCTAGTCTTTAACGACAAGTTGGAACAGTTTATCAGTTTATCAGAGGATCTCGCTGAAAACAGCCGTTTGCTGCTAAAAGACACTAAAATTCTCTGTAGAGCTTCAAAACCACTCAGAAACCTACGGGTGACGTCCCGGAGACTACGTCCATCTTTATTTACAGTCTATGAGCTGAAGGAACTCCGGTCGGGTCATCGCTACACGTGACTCCTTTCATACATTTGACAAATGTATTACATCTGTCGGATAAATAAAATAGCAACTCTTGTAGCTTTACAGGTAAAATGTCTACACAGCTAATATGTCTGCTGTGTCTCACAGTCCTCCAAGCTCTGGGAACAAAGTCTGAATCAGTCAGTTCATCTTCACTAAAACACATCAATGAGCTGGTGTAAACACATGAACACAAAAAGGAAATTTCCCACAAAAAATATCTAATACTTTAGTCATCTGATGACTAGCTTCAGCTGAATATGCTTATATTATGGATTTTGTCCAATTTCCCCTCCCTGTCCTTATTGGCAGTGAGTATAATATCAAAATAAATGTAATAATCCTACTTTTATCCTTTAATAAACTTGGAATTATACAGCTCCATCTGTTTACAGCGCAGCGATGTAATGAATTACTAGCGCTGAAAGCACAAACAGTTTTATTTAAATATCTCATCTGAAACAAATCCATGCACACAATGTATTTTATAGCAGTGAATTAGAGATTACATACCTGACATATGCTCCAAACACTCCTAGTTCACTGAGGCAGTTACTGATCTGGAGAGGAGCGTCTCGCCTCAGCAGGAAGTTGTGTGCGGGGGCGGGATGGATTTTATCCATCAGAATAAAGGCCATCCTCTCTGTGCTCTCATTCATTCCCTCCAGCACCTGGCAGATCTCTGATCCATAGATGTTGTTACCTGTGAGAAAAAAAAATTATAATGAAGTGTCAATAAACCATCAAGAAACTGACTCAATATTTATATTACAGAGTATATAATATAATATTTACATAGAGACTAACACTCAATATTAAGCAATCAAGCACTGAGAGTGAACTTCTCTGCTTAGGGACTTTCCTTAAGCGACTTATGCCGGCATTACACCGCACGACTTTCCAAGCAGTTTCACTGTCAGGTTGAATTTCAAATGTCAGAATAAAATCAGGAGAGTTTTGCTTCAGTTGTGGAGAACTCCCATCATCTCGATCGTTTGGTGTGAGGGGATCGTCCAAGCTTTAAAACATGTTTAATATTATCCTAATAAGTTTTTAGTCTTAGCTCGTACAGATAGTGACGTTCAAAACGACTTCTCCAGCCCCGAACAGGAAGCAGCAGACCGAGCTGATTGGTGACCCATGTGGTTTTAGGGTCGCGTCTCTATAAATGGGAAATCCATTTATAGAGACGCTTCTGTAAATCGTACCTCCGCCTTCTCGCTGAGGCTTCAGGACAAACCTGTCCGGCGCTGCCAGAGCCATTGCCACAGTTTTGTCACCCTCTGGACCCTGAAGGAACATCAGCAACATCAACAACAGGGAAACAAATGAGGAGAGGGAAAAACTAAAATTCTAATTTTAACACTTACTGTGATTTATTTACGTCTGGCTCATAAACAACTTCACAATAAAAAAAAAAGAAATAAAAAACAGCACTGCAGCATGTGTCAGACTCTTACCATGTCTAAAGTGTAGAGGCCGGCGAACGTCGCTCTGATCTGCTCCACTACCTGAGGCTGGTCGGGGAAGAACCTCTCCAGGACTCCAGGTCTTGCGAGCACCTGCTGGACCTTCTTGGTTCCTGCCAGGTGAGTGCTGATGTCTGGGCACTTCACAGCCAGAGAGCGCTCCATGAGAAGACGAGCGTCCCAAGTCTGCACCATACATAAGTTCTGTGTTAGAAATGATTCACAGCTGGAAACGTTCCTCCATTCATGGAGGACTGTAAAAGCCGCTTTTTCTTATATAATCTAATAGAGTCTAAAGAAAGCAACTGATTATTCTGTCAATTCATGTGTAATGCGGCGGCAAAGGAGAAAAAGAGTTGCATCAGTCTCTCAACAGTTTCATCTGGCAGTCCTACATGCATGATCTCTAAAAAGAAATAAGTTGAGACCTGTTCAGAGACGTAGTTCTGAGGCATGTAGCCGTTCCTGAAGTACACCACTGCGACCTCCAGGCCATCGCTGAAATAGAGTGACACAAAATCCACAGTAAGTCAAACAGTACAGTTTTAATTTGTGAATAATAACATTTCATACAATTGATTACTGTACATTAAGCAGACTTACACAAACAGCCTCTTGTCCTGATCAAGGGATCCAGTTTTACACACATCGTCAAACCGTTTTCTTATTGTGGGAATGTTTCTGAAACACATGGGAGAAAAACCTTCACGTTTACTGTGGGTTCCTGAAAGTCCATTTCCAACTGAACGATGTCCAAACTTCTCAAAAATGCAGGAAGATGCCACGAAAGATAAAAGGAGCGAAATATGTGAATTGAGGCACAAACCACAAACGTAGAAAACTCATTTCAAATGGCCATGAGGCATCAGGGGAAGAGACACAGTGGCAGATGTAGATTTGTTTTCCATTAAAACTGCATTATTTTCAGATCAAATATAAGTTGGCTGAGGCTAGAGGGGAACGGTTCACCTGCTCAAATGCAGCTCCTCAGTAATAACAGCTTACCTCTTCCACAGTTCATTCTCAATGTATCGCTGATCAAAGATGTTCCTCTGGCTCTCTTCCACCAAGAACATGATGACTGCCCTGTAATGACAACCATTACTCCTTTAAGACACCTTCACCACTACGTTTAGACATTACTCTGGACATTTAGTTACTCTGGATAGTCAACAGGTCTCTCTTACAATTGTTTTAAACAGGTAAACGATGCAGAAATTCTTAATACACTGGTTTCTTAGCCAACTGAGAATCAGGCCTTGCAGTCAAAACATACTGAGGTTTATATTGACATAAACCTTAAAAGCTGAGACTTGACACTTTAAGGTAGAATTAATCATTTTATTTCAAATTGAAGAGTCATAACAATAACAATAACAGTTACAGTCTGGACTGCACTTAATCCCCACCTCTCTGATCCATAGAGCTCCCAGGCTTTAGCAACTGCTCCAGCCAGACCAGCGGCGGGGTTGTTGTCTAGGATGCGCTGGCTCTCCTCCAGCCGGCCGGCCACCTTAAGGATGTGTCTGTCGAGCAACAAGAAGGACACTTCGTGGCAATCTCTGTCAGACATTTCTTCATCTATCTATTCAAAGCAACAACACCAGGTCATTTTCCTAGACAAAAGTTTGTGAGAGAGACAATGTGGTTTTGTTGCGTTTCTGTTTTGTTTTCAAAACCGGAAACGGTTGACAGTCGTCGAAATCTGAGCGCCTGCTCAGTCCTAGTAGACAATCTATGTTGCATGTGATGTACTGGTCACCTAAATATTTTCTATGACAGCTATAAAACGCTAAGAGAGACAAGGTAATGACCGACTCACCGGTGTACATCTGGCGTGCGAGACGAGAGACCCCCAAAACTAGCAGCAAAGGTATTGATCTCTATCTGCTTTAGGGATGACGTCCCGTCCTCTCTCTGGTCCAGCATGTAGTCAGACCGATTGAGACCCAACACGATAGACTGAAGGAAAGGGGCAGAGACACAACTCTCAGACTAGATCAGTAAAACGTAATGATTCATAATCATTTGGCCCAAGATATTGTGTGGAGGTGAAACAATAGGTTGATTAATTGATTAGTCAATGGACAGAAACACAACTTTACTGTATGTATTACTTTTCAATGAGGTGAAATGTAGTAATATCTCTAGTGCTGTATGAACAAAGTGTGGAATCCCTGTTGAAAATAGGATTATTAATAATTAAATGTGCAGTGATAATAACATTATAACATAACATTATTTTTATTTTCATTTTGAGATCATTCAGATTATTGTAGAGACCAAAGTTCGTTACTTCTGGAGGTTTTGTTATTTTTTGATTCAACCACAAGATGGCAGCACACTGAGAAATGCAAAGGTGACACAGATGGGGATTTTATTAGTGAATGAAGTCATTATCCTAAAGGACGATTTGAATGTTTGAGAATATACAGTATATAAAGTGATTTTCTGCTTATTACTCCTGTTTGACCCTGATGAAGGTGAAAGGCTGTGATTTAACATTAAGCTGTTTGAATAAAGGAGAAGAAAAGAGCAAGTCTGTGTCCAATCCTCCTCATTCATTCATTCTTTATAAAGTGCCATCATCATAATAATATCAAACTATTCCTTTTTAATGGGTCAATAACAGGGGATCTCACCCCAAAGACAACTGATAACCTTAAGAATATAATGCCAGAGTGAGCAGGGCTCAGTAGTTTACACCCCTGCAGCCTGAGAGCAGCGAGCTGTACCTGAGACCTTCCTTCTTTCAGGATCTGTTCATGGATCCTGAACAACCTCGCAGTGAAATCATCCACTGCAATGGTGCTGCAATACAAAGAACATCATTCTGTTAAAATCAACGACAGCTACTTATTTAAAACATCACACTGTTCTTCTATTATGTTAATAGAAGTTATCTTTAGAAGGAGTTTTGTATTGCCAAACTGCTGAGGAGGCCATCATTATGACATTATAGCTCATATACTACCTGGCAAGAGCGTCTCGCAGAAAGTCTGTATCCCGGCTGATCTGGTCCACCAGTGTGTTGTAGTAAGTTTGCACAGCCAGAGCCTGGAGGAACACGTCTTTAGGCACGGGCGTGGGAAAGAGTGTGAATGGGGCGTAAGTCACCAGCTGAAAAACAAGAAAACAACTTTCTTACAAATGTGAGAAAAATTTAAAAAAAATCAAAACAGCATTCATAGTAAAACTAGAATTACCGCCTCACAGTTGTATACCTCCACTAGTCAAACTGGTTTCAGGTCACATCCCTGTTTATCCACATTCATATAAAATATTAACCATCTGTGTGAAATTTTGTCATAATTGCTGTGTGACCACCAAAATCTAATCAATTCATCCTTGAGTCCAAGTGAATGTTTGTGGCAAATTTGAAGAAGTTCTGTCAAGGCGTTACTGAGATATCGTGTCCACGAGAACTGGACAAACGTACGGACGGACGGACGGACGGACGGACGACCTGAAAACAACATGCCTCCGGCTCTGGCTGTCGCCGGCGATGAGCCATAAAAACACAAGCGCAGCACATGGCATGTGGGGAATGAACATAAAGCATTTGGACTAAAAATCCCAGTAATTGCAAACACAGGCTTAACAAAAACCTTTCCCAAATCCAGAGCCCTAAAGCAGAACGAATTCCTAACATGACTTCACATTGAACACGCCCACTTTAACAGCGCTCTGGTTTTGAGCCACGGAGTCTCTTACTGGGTGGGGCTCACTTTGTCACAACACACAAATGCACATTCATCAAGTTTAGTTTTTGTTTTTTATAAATTCAAATTCTGACAAAGCAAAGCAACTTCTTTTATTGAATATGCAATTACTTCAAACATGAGTGGATTCAACAACTCGACTCACAGTGTGTTCTCAGTTCTTTTGTCCCATTATCAACTAATTGGCCAGTGTAAGTTGCATGAGCCTTTCTCAGACACTGAATGTGTGACATTGCTGGTTTCATCTGTCTGTTACAGTGATGGCTTTTTGTCATTCAGACATCTCTTCAGAAATGACAGAAATGTTCTATTAAAAGCCACAATGTTTCAAAGTATTTTGCCCTTGAAGCTTTAATTAGCGCTGAAGCCATTGTGAGCACACTGCCACTGCTTCTCAAAATTAATTCACAAATTCCTTTTTGAGAGACAGAACTCTGCTGCCTGTGTTATAATGTCAAACAGTGCACTAACACAGAATGACAAGACAAGCAAGCACTGTAAGCACATGCAGTTTGCATGAATAATAATGTAAAACGTAAAGGCAGTGCAGGTCTGATAAGTATTATGGTTGTATGAGGTTTTTATCTCCTACACTGTCGGGAAAGAATATATAACACTCTTAATGTCTTTTATCAAAACCATATAAAGAAGATTGTTCTGTCACTCCTTGATTTGATACTTTTCTATTCCTCTAAACACACAGGCTTGGTCACACCTGGCATTAGCGTGTCTCGTGTGATCCAATCACAAGTGGTCAGCTCTTAAGTGCAGTTGCGAACACATCAAAGACACATAGAGGACGCATTTGAGATCCGATCACTCAGACCACATTCAGAGGTGGTCTGGGTCACATATGTCCACATTCTTTTAGCGGTGTGAACGCAAATGTGTCCTGGGCCACGTTGAAGGACCAACTACTCTACTGATGTCCTCTGACCGCAGCTTCATAATGAACAGAAATGGACAACCTTATTTCAGTGTAGAGCTGTGTCGTTCAACCTCTCCGTGCCCCTCTCTCTCTCTCCCTCTCTTGCTCTCTCTCCCTCACACACACATACACAGAAACACATTGACAACAAACCAGTCTGTCGGATTGGTTAAAAACCAACAACACATACCTGTTTATTTGCAAATAAACAGGTATGTGTGGAAGTGAGAAGACGCATATAGACGTGCATTTTACGGCCAGGTGTAAACCACTTGTGATCGGATCACTGAAGGCGCATGCTGATGCCAGGTCTGAACAGGGCCATTCAGATCTAATCACTTGGAGGCCTTACAACAGCCGTCTACTCTGCCACAATCTAATTTGTCCTGTCACAGTTTCATAATGAACTGTAAATATTTTTAAATAGTGTTTCCACACATTGGTATATTTGTGGCGGCCCACCACAATATAAAATGGGTAAAACCTAATTTCACTGTAGATCTGTGCAGGGTGTATTCAGCCCCTCTGAGCCCCCCCGCCCCCTTTCTTTTACAAACACATTGACAACAGACCCGTCTATCATAATACAGCCAGACTGCCTAAAAACAACAACACATTTTGTCTTTGTTTGCAAACATAAATGATGTAAGTGCTTATTTGCATATGGAGCAGGGAAGTGATCTGACCACATGTAGCAACTCAAAATGCACGTGGAGACGCATTGTAATGTCAGGTGTGAACTGACGTACTTAGACGTGTACAGTTGTGATTGGATCACATGTTAATGCAAAATATGAACAGGGCCACCGTTTGCCCCTTTCATAAACATGTAAGTATCTTGAGATTGGAAACATCATCTTATTCCAAACTGTCTGAAAGTGTTATATGCCGTATATTCTGTTATACACCATTCAATTAAATCACACAATAAACCACATGAAATTGTAAGAAGTGACCCACTAGCAGGTTAGTGGGATTTAACGGCAAGTATTCTGTCGAATATGAGGGACAATTAAAAAGCATGCATTTGCAAGATGCATTAAATTATGCAAAGAAGGTCTCTGAATTGGCAGAACATGTTAATGCCAGGCAATGCTACTTTAATATTAAGCTGTGTATAACATGATATCCGGTGCAGGTCGACTAAAAATACCTGTTTCCACCTCTCACCTCCGATGCATTGGGAGTCTCTTCGATCCTCATTAGGACACCCTGCAGGAGCGCTGAATCTTTTGCCACATCCGCCAGGTCTTTGATCAGTGAAGTATTCATCATCACCTCGTCTGGTATCCCCTGGGCCATTCTGATTCACCTGAGATATGAAGAACAGTGCAGAAGTCCAAGACAACAACATCACCGAGTCATATAATCAAAAAGCAAATAAGAGGATTTTCCTTTAAATCGCTGTTTCCACTAATGTTGTAAACAGTCAATTTCGGATTCATCTGTATTTGGGTTACAGAATCAGTCGGTAAATTATCCTGCACTCACTCATGAAAACCTTAAGGGTCAATACTACAACTATCCTATAGCTGACACTAATACTAATGATAGAATTATAATAACAACAAGGCAAATATTAGGAATAGGTTATTAGTCATATAACAAAATAATAGTTGTTGGTGTTGTGCAGCCTGCAGCACTTATTCAGCGCAGGAGTCGCTGCATACATTAGACACAGCATACATTAAAAGCTGTAAATACGCATACATTATAATATTGACAAATAAATAAAAGATGCGACAGAATTACAAACTAGTAAGTTAAAAAAATAACATTAAACTTGCCAGGAATTTGCTTCCTGTGTAACATTTGTTAGAGGCACATGTAAATTACCGAAACAACAATTCAGCTTAATTTACCTGTGGCTGCCTTGGTTGTAATCAGGTACAGACGCTCAACTCCGCCGGCTAACAGGCAGTGGCTGGTGGATAGCTAATAGTTAGTTAGCTAGCTATCCTTAAGCTAGCAGGTCTCCGTAATCAGTGTTTTCTGTCCTGCAGGAAAGCACTCACAGGCGCAACGTGTCCATCTGTGTTAACCAAATAATGTCACTTATCTAAGTTTACTTCTCTCCTACAGAAAAGACGTCGCAGAAATGTCAATACAGCCACCTGTGAGGTACGAACAAGCCGGAGGCGGTGTAGCACTGCACATAGACATACTATCTTACATCTACAGGATTTACTAGCTAGCAACCGCTGATTAGTCGGTCCGTGTCCTGCTATTGGCTACGTAGAGCCGCTTCCTTTGTTTAGCCAATCAGTGCTCAGTACGTCACCAGAAAGCTTTCGGTCAGCTCCGGCGGTGAGTGAACACGGTTCAACATGCTGAACATGCTGAGCAAGGTATGAGACAGCAGTTTGTGAAACCACGTTACCTGCGAAAAGGTATTTCTGTGACAGGTAATGTGTGAGGATCACGTTTGTATGCTTCATCGATATATTGGTAGTAATGGTGTTGTTTTTCATTTAACTGTGGAAATCTCTGCACACACAAACCGCACACATACAATAGTAGTAGAAATAGTATAAAAAGGGTAAATAAAACATTAAAACATGATAAATGATAAATAAGATAAAGGTTCAGCAGTTCAAACTATTTACATATTAAGAGTATTTAAGGCTTTGGGGTTGAATGCATTGCTACATTTTGTTTAAGAATTTTTTTAATACGTTGTTATTCATAAAATGTACTTTTGTCAATGTAAAGTTTTGCTATAATATAATTCCGTGTTTGTTCTGAACTGCAGACATCATAAAAACCAAATAACACATGTTGATATAGTAATTAAAATGAGCATAAATATAACAATGAATATATTTTTACAAAAATCTTTCCAAAAACAACAGCATAAAGTTAACAAAACAAGGGTAGAGGTGTTGCAGCACATAAGGAGCATGGACAGCCGTGATGGAAACTTTTAAAATGTTTAATTTTGAGATAAACCTTCTGCAGTAATTGATTAAATATGAAATGGTGACAATGTCTTCCTGAAAGAAGGATCTGATCCTTCTGTTCTAGGTCGATGGACTGGATAAAACATTTCCTATGGTGTCATTAAAAGACAAATAACAAGGAAGCAGAGACAGTTCAGTGTTACCCATAAATAACATCATCACAGCTTTAGGAATGGTATACTATCATAGAAAATTCCTTTGTGATGACAGGGATCCATAAAAAAACTAAATAAGGTCTGAATAAGACATTAGGGGACGTTCTAGATTAAATGACAAAAAATATTACTGTCAAACCTATTTGGGAAAAATATTTAAAAAATGTAATTGTGGTCATGCAGATACTGAGAAACAGCTTGAATGCCACCAGCTGTTTTATAGTATCAAAACAAAATAAGAATAAGGAGAAAGAGAAAGGAAAGAGAAGAAAATAATTGAAATATAATATTAATATGCAAAAGACACTAAAGCAAATTGACAGATTCTCTAATTGTCAGCGTACTCCACACCAGCAGAGGGAGCTGAAGCTTTTTTGATACAGCTCACAAAGCTCTTCCTTTAAGCTTCCTGGTTCTGCACAGCCTTCTGTGAGATTTTCTGCATACAAGCCCACAGGCCTTCGAGCTGATCAGCAGGTTTCAGTCTGCTCTGTTGATTCAGCATATGAGGGAGGGGGAGAGATAAACAAGGGAGAGCAAATGTATTTGGATGATGACACATGACAGGGGGGAGGGGGGAGGGGGGGTAGCCATCAGGAAGCACTGAACTGTGAAGGTGTAATTTTGCCCTGTGTCTGTGTGCATGCTTGTAGATGGCGAGTGGACAGTTGTCGAGGGTGGAGGCGTTGGCGTGCTCAGGCTGTCGGCATGCGTGCCACGTGATGCTCTACGCTGACACAAAAAGTCAGCTGTTTGGAAAAATTCCCATCAGACATATAATACTGGTGAGGAAGAGCAGTGTGTGTGTGTGTGTGTGTGTGTGTGTGTGTGTGTGTGTGTGTGTGTGTGTGTGTGTGTGTGGTGGTGGGGGTGTGTGTGTGTGTGTGTGTGTGTGTGTGTGTGTGTGTGTGTGTGTGTGTGTGTTGTAGGAGTGGTGTATGGATGGAATTGGTTGAGTCCTTGCACAACCATACATGCACAAGTGCACAAGTCATACACACCTTTTGCTTTTAATGTTTCTGCCTGTTTGCATTAAAATGCACTCCTGTGTGTGTGTGTGTGTGTGTGTGTTCAAGCATCTCTGCCTCTGTGTGTGTACGTGTTTGTCGGTGTTTGTGTACGTGGATGCATCAGTGTGTGAGTGTATAACAGCCTCTGTCATTTCCCACAGATGCAGATGCGCTTTGACGGTCTGCTGGGTTTCCCTGGCGGGTGAGTCTTTGTTTTATGCTTTTATGTGCACAGGTTTGTTCAGCTCAGGTCTGTAAGTCTGTCTTTTCCTTCACACATGAACCCGTTGAAAGATTTAAACGTTTCCGGCACAGAACAAACATTCACACATTGTCACTAGAATACTCACATACCGCACAGATGAACAGTGAAAGACGGCTTCCTCTGTAAGGTGCCTTATCTTGCCTTTAAAAACCCATTAAAAAAAAAAAACTGTGATTGCCAGGCACATACTGATTAATTAGTACTTAATCTTAATATGAATCACTTGTGCCTTTGCATCTGTGAGTTACAGTAGTCGCTGCCAGAATTTCTGGGACATCACTCGCCAACACAGTGAAATCATATAATGAGACAAAAGAGTCTGAAAAATAATGATGACATATGTAAAATAGAGAAAAACTGCAAATGAAACTGGAACAACGGTCAGAACAACAGTGTGTACTAATTTAATACAACATACAAATTGTCTACACTACATTCCATATACTGTATTACTGTCTTTATATAGATTCATGGTCCCCAGAGGATGAACGCCACTGACTTTGGTGATCCCCTGACCTTTCCCTTTAGTGCCACCATTGACAGTTTTGTTCTTACTGAGCTACACACTCTGTCTCGCTGGTCTCAGGTCAAAATTTGAATTTCTCAAATACTTAAGTCTGTGACAAAATACCTGTAAAACTAATGACATTCACACACAGCATTCCCATCAGCCTTGTACTCTGTTTGTAAATATTAGCCTAGTAACAAGCTAAATAAAGATGGTGAACGTGATAACAATTATACAACATCAGCCTGTTAGCATTGTGACTTAGCATGTTGGCATGCTGACGTTAGTATTTGGCGCAAACACTTCTTTGCCTTACTACAGCCTGGCAGAGCTGCTAGCATGACGGTAAACTCTTTGTTACTCCCTTATATATTTTTTCTTCATCTTTTTACTTTTTTTATCTTTTTCTTCTGTGACCCACAAAAGTGAATTGATTCCAAGTTTGAGATAGTACAAGATCAAAAACGAACAGTGAAACAATTACACGTTAGTCTGTTGTCAACTTCAGCATGTTAGCATTGTCATTGTGAGGATGTTAGCCAACTGGTGTTAGCATGTAGCTAAAAGCACTGCGATGCTAAGGTAAATCTTCACAGAGCTGCTAGCATGGCTGTAGACAGTATACTTAGAGTGAACACACCGCATACTCAAACCCACACTTAACAACATGTTTGCTTAACAGCCTTAAAAACAATTACTTCAGGTGGAAAGGTGAAAAATTCAAAGAATGACTGCGGGGCTGTGCCATAAGGTGATTATGTTATTTTGTCATATTCGTGGGCTCAACTCAGAGTAAAGTTGTATTTCACTGATGGGAATTTTTTTTCATTTCTAATACTACTGAAGACTTTTTGTTTTTATGTGATTTGACTTTGTATGTAACCATCATTTCAGACGCCTTTCATTTTTAAAAGTCTGTCTCTGCCGTCCAGTTAATTATGAGTGCAATTGTTATAAATAAAACCTCACTGCTCACTCTGCACTAATCACCTGATACTGAGTGATCTACACCCTGAAATTAACAGAAAGTAATAATTTAAAAAACACTTGAGATTGAGATCAGGACCAATTCAGGCGTTTTGATTAAATATGGACTATAAATCCATTTAAAAAAATCAATAAATTAATAAAAACAGTTCACAAAACATGGTCAGGACATCCATAATTGAAAGTTTCATATAATACCTGCGCCTCAGTACAGAAATGGCAGGCGTGGTCTGGGCTGTGTCAAAGACTCTTCTGCTCAGATAAGCTGAATAGAGTCAAAATAAACAAAAATAAAAATGATTAAATAATATGAATTAAGTATAAGAATATTTATAAAATGTTGCAATGAGAAGATCAGTCCCCTAGAGGGCGCCAGTGGACTTGATGAATAAAACTCGCCCACGGCACCAAAATACACCAGGAATGGCCCGACCAATTTCTCTTCACACACAAAATCCAGTGACTTGTGACTTTCTTGTGATTTTCTTTTGACTTGAGGCAGCAGCAACTCAGCAAACAAGTTTTGTGCTTGGAAATTCAATCAGCTTTTCAACCAGCTTGATTTATTTACTTCTGCACTGAGGAGTCTCAGGGGAACAGTACAGCTGACATTGTTTATCTACTTTCAAATCTGATCCTGACCTTTGACCTCCCACACCTCCCTCCCCACACCTCAGGCTTGTTAACCCAGCGGAGGAGACCCTGGAGGCGGGCCTTAGCAGGGAATTGTCGGAGGAGCTGGGCGTGGCTCTTCCTATGTCGGTGGAAGATCATGTGGTCTCCTGCCATGCCCCTGCTTCGTCTCCCTCCTCCTCCCGTCTTATCACTCACTTCTATGTGAAGAAGATGGAGGAGGAGCAGATCAGGGAGGTGGAGAGAGCAGCTGCATCCACTGCAACAGATCATGGACAAGAGGTAGAGAGAGAGAGAGAGAGAGAGAGAGTGACTGATTGCAGCCATTTACCTGATCTCAAGCTCTGTTCCTCCCAATCTTGCTCTCTCTCTCTCCCTCTCTCTCTCTCTCTCCCTCCCTCCAGGTTCTGGGAATGGTCAGAGTCCCCCTCTACACCATGAAAGGCGGGGGAGGCCTCGCGTCTTTCCTGTCGCACTCATTCATCGGCAACGCTCGCTCCCAGCTGGTCGACTCTCTGCTGCGCCTCAACCTGGTCGCCCCCGAGGAGTTGCACAAAGCCCTGGTGCATTCTGTGAAGACACACACGCACACCGCAGAGGACCTGAAAGCGGCCCTTGCGCTGACAGATGCGAGGAGGAAACGGTTTTGAAACACACCTGCATCTCGTGCATCAGAACATCCTCTCAAGCACGTTCACAGACTCAGTTTGGCCATCAGCAACACAATCCTTCACTCACACACTTAATCCTAGACACACACACACACACACACACACACACTCTAATCCTGATGCTGAGCTGGTGACTCATAATTGCCCGCTGTGCATCAAACAGTTTGGGGAAAACATTATCAACTCCTTTACCATTAACGGAAATAAAATGATTCACACTGTCATATTCTGTCATTTTACTCCTTTCATCATCAGCACATTGTTGATTTCAAGCAGCAGAGCTGAAATTCTAATTATATGATATGAAATTAATTGGTATTGCAATCAACACTTTATCAAACCTTTTAATAAATTGATGCTATAATGGAAATTACATCTTAAAAATTCTTGCAGGGATTTTTAGTGTCTTGCAAACTGCTGACAGTCCATGCAAAATAACAAAGAAAGGCAACACAAGACAATAAAGACACTGCACATGACTGTGCTGCCTTATATGGAAGTGCATATGCACCCTGTGGTAACTGCCCAGATCATAATCATGATCAGCGGAAATTTAGGTAGAACTCTTCATCCGTCTTTGTGCTGCTCACTTTTTTTTTTTTTTGATGGTTTCTCTTTTATGAAGTTATAGCGACGGCAGGAGCAGCGGCGGCACTGGTGCAATCCACTGGATTAATTACGTCCGTGACATACTATACAGCCTGCAGGCGAAGATTTGATTCTGTTTAAGTGTACCCTGGGTGCACATAGCACGCCTGCACCAGATGTTAGTAACCTCATTCCCAGACAATATTGCTGGCAGTGAGTGAGAGCAGAGACACGATGCTGCCTAAATGTCTAAGATACCTACTGTAAGTGCACAATGTGAATATGTCCACTGTTTCTTTCTGCAGATGGATCCGCCTGACATGCTGAATGTGGTAATGCACAGAGGAGAATAACAGGCTGAGAGAATAGAGCCAAACACTGAGTTTATCTTTTGATTCATCAGTCATGCAGCAGGTTTACTACACTGCAATCAGTGCGATAAATCCAGCTCATTGTTTGATAAATCAGACACAGAATGTACATTAGAGATGAAGGATGCTGAGAGAAACACACTCATTCACTCCTCTTTTATTCGGCTTTATAAAACAGTAGAATTCATAAAGACTTATTGCATTTTAAAAGGGCAGGTACATGCATCAGCCATAAGTACGTACAGACTGAGTCGTGCTTGGGCAGGTGTTAATACAATAAGTGATTGCAAGCAGTATTAATTTGTGAAGTGCAATGTGATCTGCTGTCGATACGCATCTCTCTGTTGGTGTGTGTTTTTCTCAGCTGTCAGGAGGAAAAATGCACCACATCCGGCGCAACAGACAGGAAGCCCAGCAGACGGATAGTACAAAACACTGTTGTCTGTGGTGGTGTTTGTGTGTGTGTGTGTGTGTGTGTGTGTGTGTGTGNGTTAATACAATAAGTGATTGCAAGCAGTATTAATTTGTGAAGTGCAATGTGATCTGCTGTCGATACGCATCTCTCTGTTGGTGTGTGTTTTTCTCAGCTGTCAGGAGGAAAAATGCACCACATCCGGCGCAACAGACAGGAAGCCCAGCAGACGGATAGTACAAAACACTGTTGTCTGTGGTGGTGTTTGTGTGTGTGTGTGTGTGTGTGTGTGTGTGTATGTGTGGAGAGGGGGGGGGTATACGTGGCTGCTTGAGGACATGCCTCTTCGAAGCATACACGTATATATATGTGTATGTGTGTTTGCATTTGTTGAAACGGTTGCATCTTGCACAAGAGTGTGTGAGGAGAAAGGATCCTGTCATGTGATGGTGTTGTAAGGGCGAATAATACAAGGTCATCAAAAAAAAAAAAAAAAAACATTTCGAGAGAGAAAGGGATGGAGGGATGGAGCCAGGGAGGGAGGGAGGGATGGAGGGAGGGCAGTGCAGGCGAGGGATGGATGGATGGAGGGAGAGAGCGAGAGCGAGGGATGCTGAGGGAGAAAGGCGGTATATTCATAGCAGCAGCGGTATTTATAGCCGCCCAGAGGAGAGGAGAGAGCGAGGGGCGTGGCTTGGGTTGTGGCTCTCGCACTGCTTCACGAGGCAGAGAGGGAGAGAGGGAGGGAATGGGAGGAGAGAGGCAGCTCTGGCGCCAGTGAGAGAGAGCGAGAGTGGAGGCTATTTGGCAGGAGAGGGAAGAAAGAAAGGAGGGAGGGAGGGGAGCGGAGGGGAGGGGAGGGCTGTTTTTGAGCGTGTGCCTGAGAAATGAGAGAGAGAGAGAAGGGTGAGAGAGGAGGGAACTGAGCTGAGAGAAATCTGTCAGATTCAAACACACTGCTCTGTGTGTGTGTGTGTGACAGAGAGAGCGAGGGATGAGAAGAGGAGGAGGAGAGCTGAGGAACAGATAGAAAGAGACAGCAGAGGACCACAAAGTGAGGTATGTACGGCTGTCATGCTGCTCCTGAATCCAATAACAACCTGTGTGTGTGTAAATATATGTGTGTGTGTGTGTGTGTGTGTGTGTGTGTGTGTGTGCACGCTTGTGTACATGCGTGACTAAAGTGAATATGTATGTGTTTAAATATAGTTTAGTGTTTTAAAGGGACACTGTATTCACCTGGGGGTTTTCTAAGTGGACAAATGGATGTGGGCTACTGACTGTTAGGGGTATCAATTATGTAATATGTGTGCACCATTTTCAGTGTTGATGCTCTGTGCATCTCTGTGTGTGTGTGTGTGTGTGTGTGTGTGTGTGTGTGTGGTTGTGTAATTACACTGAGGTGTTTATGTGGCCATTGTGTGAAGCACTGCTACAGTCCACTGGCCATATTGGGGTGATTTACAGCCCTTGTAAATATAACTCAACACTCCTCTGCTGTTAGAGCAGCAGCACCTTAATCCCCCCCCCACCCCCCCACCCCCCCTCTGCTTATCACCTGCACTATTGACAGATAATTCAGTTATTATAGGATGAAGATAAGCAAATGGTTTAAACAGCCTTCTCACAGGCGTCTACAAAGTAGGATTCCCTTTGTGCTGTTGGTTTTACAGTGAATCAACAAAGATTGTGATGATAATGTAACAGAGCAGCCTCTTGCAGGCAGGATTTTTTGTTTGTTTGTTTGATGAACTGAAGTTTACTTAAACCATAGAAGGAGGTCCAGTTTAAGTGTCAAAAGCAGCTTCTTAAACACACACTTTGGATGTGCTAGGATTATGACTCTGAGCTGATTTGTAGTCGAACGTCCACTAATGTAAAATACTGCACTTTTAAAAATAGCCAGTCTGGTCTGAGATGCAACAGCACAGTGACCTTAAACAGCACAGTGGTTGACCAGCTTTACCCTCACTGCATCAGACAACTAAGGAACCAGTTCCCTTCTCAAAGTCTTCAGTTAAAAAAAAAAAGAAGAAGAAGGAACATATGATAAATTATTTATTTTATTTTGTGCATTTACTTACATACTTTCACATGTACAAAGTGATACTGAAGCCCAGGCAGTGGTTCACCTGTGATCTGTGGTGGGCAACAAACATCGCATAAAGAAACTAGACATTATGTGTAAATATGAAACAATATGAGCAATGTTTACAATTACTTGGCCGTATTTTTCTAGTGTTGTAAGAAGTGTTCAGATCTTTTACCTGAGTAAATGTAGAAATACCACACTGTAGAAAAGTAGAAGACATGGATTCAAAAGCATTGGCATCAAAATATACTCAAAGTCCCTAAGGTGAAAATACTCACATTGTGCAGAATGGCCCCATTTCTGATTAATATATATTATATTACTGTATTATAATTATTGATGCATAATAAATAATATATAGTTAAAAACTACAATATTTGGCTTTGGAAATGGATTTACTCAATGAAAGTACAAGGACTTCAAATTTGTAGTTAAGCACAGTATTTGAGTAAATGCACTTAGTTACTTTCCAGCTGTGTTTTCCACAGTGAGATTTACTCATACACTCTGTAGGACAGTAGAAACTAGGTACAAAATTGGCAAGCCTAAATTGACTCCTAATCATGTCTGTCATAGGAAGCAAACGAAAATGCCAGTGCAGAAGTGAAGGTTTCAGCAGAGCCTGAGGAGCGGATGTGGGCAGTCTGACAGCCTCTCGGCCCTTACAGTACCCAACTGTCAGGAACTGTTTTCATTTCACTTTTTTTATTCGTCTTTTTGCCCCTTGCCAGGACCTGCAGGTATGCACTCCACAAACTTTACCTGTAAATGATCCTCTACATAAAACCCCACCATGGCAGGACCTGAGGCAGCAGTGGAAAAGTTTTCTGTGCCATTTGGCTTTAATTTTGCATCCCTGTACGATGCATGAATTGCCCTCAGTGTTGTTTCAACTACCGTGCCAGAATCTGAAAGGCATCTTATATACTGTGTGTAAAAACCTGTGGTGGCATACTACGATATGGTTTCCTGTTTGCTACGGCAGCTGCTGCTCAAGCAGTAGCTGGGAAGGATGTGTAAGAGTGTAGAGAGACTGTGGCAAGAAGCAAACTTTGTCGGTAATATGATGAAGTTGGAATTGGCTACTTTGCGTAGCTAATCATGCATCGTCCTAAATCTCAAGAGACGTTCTAAATGAAGCCTGGGGCCAGAGCCAAAACGAGGGCATCCTACCTGTTGTAGTGCAGTCAGGTTGGCAGTATGAGATGCATTCAGATTTGCTTTGCAGTGTAGCGGCCAATGAATGAGCTGACGTGTGATGCATTTAGCTTCTTGTGGTTCAAAGTAGATCAACTTTGGTGATCTGCAGATCTGCAGCAGCGTGCTGTGCTGTGAGAAAGTACAGGCTCAGAATCTGATTGGTCATGTAATCTTAAAGCAGGATTAAAATTACGAATAACACTCTCTTCCTCTTACAAATGAAAAGTAAAATTTTATCAGTAATAAAACCTGCTATCATTCAGTTCAACACAGTCAGGGTTTTTGCTGCCACAGCATTACTTTTGCTGTCTCTCAGTTTGAGCACTTCCATACACACACTTGGCTATTTTTGAGTGCCTAAGTGCGTTCACATTGACAGGTATGGCAACAACCCGGATAGTGCACTCAAAATGGTACAAAAATTGAGTATAAAATGATGGACACTTGAGTGCCGCCGTCTTGGCTACGTAGCAAAAGGGGAGGGAGCACCAACGTATTTTCAAACTTGTGAAAAGGGCGACAGAAGGACATGTTGTCGGTGCCGATGGCGGCCTAATTTCCATGTTGCATGACACAGGGGAAAGGAAAACGTTAATTTTGAAGTCATGTGAGAAAAAGCAGCCGGCAGGTGGAGCAGTCACCTGTAGTGATTGTCATCTCCTGACTGTAAAACTGCAATGTTTTAATTTGTGACAATACTTCCCTGTTGAAACTCATGCACAGTGAGTATGCTGAGTACACAGTGCACTACATGTGATGGTACTGACCAGTAGCTTATGGTGCTAATACCAGCAAACTTTAGATAGATATCGCCGTATATCTGACATTAGTGAGTCAGCCAATTGGGTTTCACACTTTATCTACTGTTATGCCATAAGCAGCAGTATTTTGAGTTTGCAAGTATTAGGTGTTGCATAGTTTTCAAGCCACAGGAGTCCAAGGGCACAGTAATGTGGTACAGCTGCATCAAGAGGAACTAAAACGATATGCATCGTTACCCTCCCCCAAAAATAAAGCTTTCAGCTGCAAAGCCGATAAATTCTTAAATAAAAAAGTATTTTTGCTTAACTTACTGTGATAATAGGTTACTGTGTTGATCTTGTAATCTATGTGCTTTTATAGTAGATAATCAAAACTCTCTAGAAATGAGCACAGCAGAAATAAGAAACAAACTGGAGATGATAAAAGTATTTAAATAAAAATGCAGAACAATTATAAACAATATCAGGAACTAAAACTGCAGCAGCAAGTCTCTCCAAAGATTGCAGACAGCAGGAATCAGGAATAATATCCACATGCTAACAAGCTAACAGGCTATTGATATGTAAAGTTGATGGGGTGCTTTGTCCCTTCATCTGTACGTCTCATTCTCGTAAACGCGATATATCTCAGGAATGTGTTGAGGGAATTTCTTCAAACATCGATGTTAATTTGCAAACAAGGGTTAGCTGGTTATAATTTGGTGATCAGAGTTCAAAGGTTAAGGTTCATATGATCTCACAAAACATGTTTTTGGCCACACCTCAAGAAGTCACTCGCTCATTATGACACAATACACTTAATAACTTTTATTAAATTCCTTCAAAGTCGTCACTACATATATTACATGAGTCTGGAAGGACGTGAACGTAAACTGCAACTTGAAGCGTACAACTGTGAGGTGGTAATTCTACTCATGGCCTGCAGTTAGTCTTGTAACATATAAAAGGCAAGTATGCGGGAGAAGGTAAAAGCTGTTGCCAGTGTCTGACTTTATCCTGGAGGCAGCGCATGTCAGTGCAAACTCGATAAATATTGAACTCACAAAAATACCAGGAGAAAAGATAAGTTGGTTCGTTTTGGGGTCAGCATTAATAGACTTGCATTTTCATAAAGTGGGGATGATCAAAAGATACAGATTATTCTGACTTTTAGTAGCTACTGGGGGGAACGCTCCAAAAACACAGGATCCTACATTTCCTATGATGCAACTTGACAGCATCTTTTATCACTCCCTTGTTTCCTGCTAAACACCCACATGTTAGTCACTCCACACCATCAGTCTGTAATGTAAGCTTTTGGTTATTTTTTTTTGGGGGGGAGGTTGTTTTTTTGGGATCACTCACTCCAGAGACACAGGAGACATTAAACAATCTGAGTAGTACTTCTCATGACGAGTGAAATGTGTAAAATCGATGGGGTGCTCCTTTACTTCAGTGATCTCCGACTGGACCCGAGAGGCCAGACACTGTATGTCCATCCAGGAAACATAATTAAAAACAGAAAATACACGACAGACGCCAGCGGCTGTTATTCGACAAAAAAAATCAAAACAAATTTTAATCACCTGCTGAAACAGCTTTCAGTGATGATGAGGTCTGCAGAACAAAAGCTGCTGCAAGCTGAGACTTGACAGCACAGGTCCCGTCTGTCGATGATTATTTGGGCTAATTCCATTTCATTTCATGTCATTGCTACACCTACAACCCACTCAGCAAGGTAACATGGTGCACGTACAGTATGAATCATTCACAAACGCCTTTCTCTTGTTGTATGTTTTCCAGTGAGACCTGTTCTATTCCACCAACTCTATATCTGACTGCTTCCTCCTGCAGCATAAACTGCAACAAGCTCCATCTTCTCCCAATCATGTCCCTGTCTATAAGAGCCTCTCCAATCAGTCTGTCACACAGATGAGTGTCTCACCTGACTCTACATGACTTGTGTTCGCAGCAGTGAGCATACAGCTGCAGCACCAGATTAGCATACGTTCATGTTTGACAGTGCTTATCTGTGATCGTGCTGCACTGGTAAAGACGACACTTCACCTCCTGCACATGCTGCAACAGTTCAGCTGAAACCTCAAGTCAACTTCTCAGGATGTGAGATCATCTGGCCGAGGGTCCCGTCGACACCCAAGTGTTTTCTTTTTTGACATTTTGCGCCGCATTAGCAATGGTTTGGCTTCGTCCACATTGGATGAGGAAAGATTTTCTACTCAGAGGAAGCAGCTGCTCGGAGGCAACATAGCTGCAGATTTCAGCAAGAAATGTGACACAAGATAACGTTCTGTATAGTTACAGGCCCAATGTACGAGAGTGTGGTTGGCTTCCAGCAATGTCAGGAAATCCCCATATAGTATCAGCCAGCACATCAAACACAATGTCCCATTTGTATCCTGCATTACTTCTGCTTAGTGCTTCATTTTTCTCTTCAGAAGAAATTAACTGAAAATCCCCTTAGTGGCAATAAGGAGCTATCACACCGCACCACATGTATCCTCTCTTGTCTTCAATCTACTTTATATTCACCACGTATATCGCATGACCTTCTCCTTACAATGACCTTGACTTTAAGTATGAAACGTCTTTTTCCGATAACCTCCATCTCTCTGCCCTCGCTGCCCACTTTTTCTGTTTTTTCCCGGTCTTTTGCTGAATCTCTCGCAGCTCCCTCCCCTCCCTCTTTTCTCAGATCATTTACATTCGCTTTGTTCTGTGCAGATTAAGGTCGCACGCTGATGAAGGCCTCTGGAGCCTCCAAGGTCTCGGGGCCCTCGCGGTCTCATTTGTGAAAATCTCTCTGCGTTCCTTCACTGTACTTCTCCATTTTTACTCTGTAGTTCAATCTGGAACTGTCACTGGAGTGCAGTCTGGACCACATCCACTACACAGTTTTGGGAGAGGAAATGAAAGCACAGGCCCGAGAGCAAATGTTAAGTCAGGGGCGTGATATGCAACATCTTTAAGATCATTTCTGGTTTATTTTTCCATTTCCTGAATGTACCGCACAGTGCTTTGAAACAATACCCTCCTGCTTTCAAAACTGCATCGACAACCTGCTTTGACAAACACTATGTTTTCTCACAGTCAGGCCACATTAAATCACATTTGTGTAAAGCGAGTGTGTTTTTCTGGTCACATTTTGTCTCAGTTACTGTTTTGACTTTTAATAATCCTTAAATTACAGCTTGAAGCTTATTTAGGAGCAATGTAAAAGCAGCACACTGTGGTAGTCTCTGCAGAGTATCTGAAACCTGTTGAGAAATTGACACAGGATGTGGGAATTGAAGTTGCTTCTGTGTATGTGTGTGCGGTCCAGGTATTACTGACGTTGTGGGGACCTAAATCTGTTTGCACAGTCACATTATGGGGACAAGAAAGTCCCTATAACGTAAATCATCCAATTTTAAGGTGTAGACATGTTTTAAGGTTACTGTAGGTTAGGTTGGGGTTATGGTTAGGCCGAGTAGAAGTTATGGTTAGGGTTAGGTCTCTGCCCTCTGAACTGTGTGTGTGTGTGCATGTGTGCGCGTTTTTCTGCAATTGTGAAAGTTAAAAGTAAGATATGATGAGTGTGAACTCAGTGCACTTTATGCTGACTAATAAACATCAACTCATCATCACACAATAAGCAGCCAGTCATGTGCATGTATGGCTAATTTGTTGAACCTTTTAGATATCGGCTAACTGGATCCTCTGCCTCTACTGTACTAACACTGCAGAAATGATTTCTTCAGAGAACTGGCTCTCTCTTTCTTCAGCATTCAGCAGATTTAGAAATTAAAAGCAGTCATAATTGCACTTTAAAGGAGTACTTTGGTGATTGAGATGTCTGGATTTTAGTCCCTAGTGTGGTTTCAGGTTCCCAAAAGAGCTGGATCCTACACTTCATCCTTTCAGTACACCCTCCCTGCCTGGTAAACAACCATGCCTTTTGATGCACCCAGTTTTTCTTGCCTTTTTTTTTTCCATTAAAAAGCCCATTAAAAAGCACCGAAGCAGGAGGAGCTATTTTGGGTTCCCCTGGTTCCAGAAGTAAAAGTCCCTTTCACTTTTCCGATAGACAAAGTTATGTGACTCACAGTTGGAGCACTTTCAAAGCTCGGACAGACACGAAACTGTCTTGGTTGAATCACTGAGAGATGAGAGCAAAGAGAGAAGAGCGAAGTGAATTTCTTCGCCTCACGTTCTTTGTGAGAATTTGACCACTGGACCGTTTGTGCAGTCTGTGTTAATTCGCCCCGAACAGCCCAATACACCAACTGTACAAACGTTAGCAGTACGCTAACTAGCAATGGAGGCATTGACTGTGTGTGTGTGTGTGTGTGTGTAGGACTGTGCCTTTGTGTGTCTTTGTGTTCAGCTCAGGGTCTGACTGCGCCAATTTGCTCTGCCCAGCACAAATTTGCGCCTAATCACGTCTTTCCACTGAGTTTGTGTTCAGTCTCGCTGCCTGGAACACATGATAAAAAAATAGAAAAATGGATAAATAAAAAAAAACGTATAAGAAAACATCTGGTTCTTAGATACGAAGTCAAAGGTACAAGACTGTGTTCATAAGAACTACGAGCCCCAAAGGGGATTTTGGTATGAAACATCCTGTCACAGAGCTGCTACATGCACTTTTTACTTTTCTGGTGTTTTATTCAAAGTGTTGATCCATAAGAAGATATATTTGTGGTTTTAAATACTAAAAAACCATCTCATTGTAGTTTTACATCTCCTCGCTCTGGCTCTTCTCTGGAGCTCTAGCAACAACAGGTCAGTGAGCCAATCAATACTTTCACAGTATTAATATAGAACCTAGACCTTCTTTATAATAATAATAATAAAAAAAGACATGGAAATCTCACTTTATACAATATGAGACCTTTACTTCAATTTCAAAATGTTGGTCAAAGCATTTTGAAGAGCAACTGAGGTTTGTGGGTATTGTAGTTTGTAGAATCTGCCATGATGGGAGAGTCCTGTGTTCCTATGTTGAGTAACACTGAGGACATGAAACTGTCTGCACTGACAATTCAGAGCACCAGCAGCTCGTCGCGCTCCTCCACAACTCTATTGAGATAACCCCAGTGACAATACAACATCTTCCCAGACTGAGTAGCAGGCTACTTCTCATGATGCATGAACTGGAGAGCCCCTTCAGCAAGTGTAAAGAGTAAAGGTAACCCACAAACCAACTGTGAGAAAATGGTGGTAGATCAACAAACCGCCTGTGGAGATGCAAAGCAGATTATCATACGTAGTCTGTGGTGAGTCTCCAAACAGCGTTTACTGCATCCCGCTGTGACTCTACATTCTGCATCTTTGACCTTCTTCCTTTTAGAAAACGTGTTCAGCTTGTTACAGTATGTTTAAAAAAGAAAATCATTGGAGACGTTTGCTTGTTTATTTGAGCATTACCTTTTACAGACAACCCCAACCCTGACCTCAAGGCGCTGAATGTCCTTCATTACTGCTGTTACTCATCACCTCTCATCTTCCCATCCCCCTTCCTTCATCCTTCCTCCCTCACATCCCCATCACTCTGCCCTCTTACTGTCCATTCTGCGCTCTGCCCCCATCTCGCTGTCCCTCCTATTAAATCTCCCTATCTGGTGACACTGTCCCTTTCAGTCTTGTCGCTCTGGCCTCATTTGTCCTCCTCCTCCTGACTCTTTCATCCTCTGATTCTGGTCTCAATATATTCTCTCTCGCCCCCTGTTGTCCTCTTGTCATCGGCTTCCTCTCTTACCGTTATCCTCTCTTTCCTCTTTTTTCTCCCCCCACTGTCTTCTTCTCAGGCCGGTTCACCTATGGATGATCAGCATTCATACCAGAAACCCAGGGGATTCCATGGACACATCGACCCGACTGACATCCCCACTGAGCGCAGCCGATCGACACTGATGCTGATGCGCTACGTGCAGCTGTAGAGCAGCAAGGCCAAGGGGGTCAGGGGTGAAAGGTCACAGACTACAAGAGCTAGAGCAGGCGCTGAGGTTGAGAGGTTTCGGGGAGCGAGACCGTGAGGATACGAGAAGAAGCAGGGTTCAGGAAGTAAGGTCTCAGTGACAGACGAGGGTCAAGGGGTCAAAGATGATGACATCACATGGAAAGCTGAGGAGGGAGAAAGGGAGTCTGGCCGAGTATGAATCGCAGATGAAAGGTAAGACACTGTGTGTGTGTGTGTGTGTGTGTGTCTGTGTGTGTGTGTGTGTGTGTGTGTGTGTGTGTGTGTGTGTGTGTGTGTGTGTGTGTGTGTGCGCGCTGTGTGCTTCTGTACATCTCTGCCCTTTATCACACCTCTGTTTGTGCATGTGCTCTTCTTTGTATGCATGAATGCGTATAAGACAGCACATGTGCATTCATGCATGAATGTGCAGTTGCTTTGCACAGTCATCCAGCCATATACTCTCTCTGAATACATTTGTATTTGTACTGGTAAACATGGTCAGGAACTGATAGAACGCTTGGAGCTTGATGATGATCCATATGAAGAATTTCCTTATGTCAGTAGGTCAGAAAATCTTTTCAGCCTTTAATCAGAGAAAACATGAAAATGACCAGTACTGGCACAACAAGAGTTTTACATGACAACAGCTGTGTGTGTGTGTGTTATGTGCTGTGTTTTGGAGCGTGCATGCTGTGGCTGGCTGGCTCTCTGTACTGTACTACAAGGCTGTATTTATAGTCAGTATTAGTGATGCTGTCTCCTCACATCCAGTCAGCCCAGGGCTGTGTACTCACACAGAGACACAGAAAAAGAGTAAAGAGGGGAAAGATGGAGTGGGCAGAGTGGTTGGGGAGGGGTGGAGGGTGAAGGGGGGGGCAAGCGAGGAAGATAAAATGGGAGCTGAGAACGGGTAAGAAAAGAAAAGAAAGAGAGAGGTGAGGGAGCAAAGCGAGGGCGGTGTTATTTGTGAGGATGATGTTTGTATTAGCCTTTTCACATCAAAAGTGCAGCGCCGGGGCATGTCACTGCTGGTTTAATTGTGCTTGTGCGTGGAGGGAGGTGTGTGGTATGAGGTTATATTGGGTCATTACAAGTGAGCTGTGTGTAATAATCCATCCATATGCAGTCAAATTGTTCAAAATAAAAATCAATCACACCTCCAAATGACAGCAAGGACAGTGTTTTATTCAATCTTGTGTTAAAAAACATTGTTATATATTCTTGTGTGAATGAGCTGTTCCTCAGGGAGCCATACACATTATATATGCATTTAATATTTCCAAAATATACATACACTGTGTCTCCATACTGTACAGTGTGTGCCTGTGTGGTGTGATATGCATGTATCCATTTTATTTCATCTTTTATTTTCATATTTATTAACATGCAACATGAAGCATAAAGATATAAAATACACATAGAGTAAAGACTGAAGACGAGAGCTGCTCTCCAGTACAGCATATGTATACAAATATACACATGCATGCACTGACATACATGTACATTTCTGTTTTCTGGCTTCCCCTTCTGAATAAATAACATCCAACTTTAAAAGTAACCAACTGGAGAAAACACACTGCTGTAAGTTACACTCTTTATTAAAACTTTGATAAATTAAGCAGCGAATCATAATTTAGCAGCAGAACAGTGGAGAATATTCTTATCTATAATATTATGTATACCGCTTCCCAAAACAGAGAGGCTTCTTGGCGTTCCCAAACAGTGTGATGATTATGTCTGAATAAAACCGTTGGAACATAATTCGCTCTGTGGAGATGCCAACAATTAAAATCTGAGGAGTAGACTGTTCTCTGTGGATCTATTTTTAATGCACCAAATGATGATCAGTGTTTCTGGAGGAAAGTTTAACATAATTCCAGACTGTGCTCTTGTTAATTGATGTATTGAAGGTACAGAAATGTAATATCTGATATATATGTCCCTATATCAAGAGTGATGTTTACATATAGCTCACCTATAAGGAGATATATTATTAGATATTATCTTCTTCCCACTCTGGCAAAGTGGTCTCAGACTTTTGGAACCCACTTTATATAATATCCACAGGTTTTGGGATGGATATATATTTATGTATCACATGTCTACAATATAATCATACATACATATTTGGGCTAGACCAATATGTAAATATATGAAAATTGTTACAACGTCAGATTTTTTACACACATGGTTTTATATGTACTGTACATATATTTCATATATGGAAATTCAATATATGTACATATTACATTTGTGTATGGGTATATCATCAAACTGTCTTGACTGACAAGTAAGAAGACTTTAGCAAAAATGTATGAATCTAGCACAGTTTGAGGTCAGGTAAATATTTTATTTCTTGCATGGAGCGAAGACCTTCATTGTAAATAGGGGGAAAAAAGAAGAATGTACCAAGTTCACCTTTTGCAAAAAAACAAACAAACATCTGATCACTGCATCATCCATGTATGTGCATGTGTGTCCTCACGTCACTCTCTGTGTTTGCATGCCAGTGTGTGTCCAGGCTTATCAACATGTACTGAAATGACTTGTCTTCCATTTCCTCTCTGTGTCTGTCTCCCTGTCTGTCTCTGTCACCCTGTGTGTGTCAGACCTGCGGGCCCAGCTGACAGACCAGATCAAGGTTTTAGATTCTCAGGTGGAGGTGAAACAGCAGCAGCTCTCAGACCTCTCTGAGTTTCTCCGGCGTCGAGGCGACATCGAGGCTGAATACGCGCGTGCCCTCGATAAACTCACCGAGAGGTTCACCCTCAAGACGAAGAAGTAAGTGTGTGTACAGTGTGTGTAGCGGACATTTGTGTCTCCCCCCCTCTCTCTCGGGTGATTCTGAAGCGCTTCAGTTTGCCAATGAGGATGTGTGTGTGTTTTTTTTCTCCAGGAAGGAGCAGTGGGGTCAGTCTGTGTGTCAGGTCTGGTCTGTTTTGCTGACCCAGACTCGTCTGGAGAGCCGGGAACATGCGGCACTGGGTGACACCTGCTGCAACACGCTCACACAGAGACTGGTCCACAGTACAGAGGATACACACCGTCTGCACAAACGGGTGAGTGGAGGATTGGTTTGTGTAAAGACACGTGCAAAATTCAAAGTTCAAAGTATCTTTATTGTCCTTCACAGGGAAATTACAAAAATGTCTAAATGGCCATACAAAAAATGCACATTGAAAGACACACATAGCACCAAACCTCAACATACAGTGAGGCATGATGGCCAGAGTGATATGTAAGAGTTCATTCATCAAGGTCAAAGTGCAGTCTGTGCAAATAAGCAACCTCCAGACAACAGTAAAATACTGTCTGCCATTTAACAAGTGAATAGCAACAGGAACAAAGGAAAACTCATATACTCAGGGTCCTCATAACAGTCACCCTAATGCAGAAACAAACTCACACTGGACACGTACAGCACAAGGGTGAGACATTCACCCACAAGACTAAGTAGATAAGTGTGTAGACAGTAAGTGTGTTTAATGCACATATACACATTTCTTCTTCTTCTTCTTCTTCTTCTTCTTCTTCTTCTTGCTTTTGCATCCTTACATTCTTATTTTATACTGACTGTATAAGGTTTCAAGGTTTGTTATGCCATTGGCTAAAATAAAAAGTACATTTCCTCATCAATCTACACTCAATACTCTATTATGACAAAGTGAAAACAGAATTTTAGAAATTTCTACAAATGTATTAATCAAGGTGTAGAAATATCTCAAAGATGATCAAGACAAATTGGAGGCACCTAATCCTAACCCTTAATTTCAAGAGCCTCAATATTTATGTCAATATGATATTTCAGTTTTTCTTTTTTATCAAATTTGCAAAAATTTCTAAATTTCTGTTTTCACTTTGTCATTATGGAGAACTGAGTCCAGATTTATGCAGCAAATTCTGTTTTTATTTTCTTTTATTTTAGTATGAGGCTGCTACATAACAAAATCTGAAAAAACTGAATGGGTCTGAAGACTTTGGGAACGCAATGAATACCGTATGTAGTTGTGTATTTGTACAGGATTACTGTGTTCTAGATATTGTAATAAAACCTGTTGAGTGAAAAATCATTATTGCCAGTATAAACGATGGCCCAAACCTTGAAATGAGCTTGAAATAAAACAATATTTTATCTAATAAGTCTTTTATTGTCATATTAAAGTAGAGTTACACTAATTTAAGTCACACTCCACTCTGTCAGCTCTGTCTCCTGTAAGAAAAATAAGAATTTATGAATTCATGAATGCATAAATTCATAAAGATGTTTTTTTCAGTGTTGCCAGTTTCATTTTTTAATACAGAACAACACTTAAATGTCTCCAGTTGTTAGTTGCCAGCCTTGAAAGATGAACAAACTCACCAAATAAGCTCTTTAAGTTGACATGCACCGAACACAATGAAACTCTTCATTTAAATCCCCTGTAATGTATTTGTCCTGTTATCTGTCTTGGTACCGCAGTGGCATCTGCAGTTTCATTCATTCTATAAAGTACACAGACTCATCTTGCTCAAATTACTGGTTGTCAGACACACACTCTCTCTGTACCTTCTCAGAGATGAAAAGTGAGCAGAATTTTAATTAAGCCTCCACAGTTTTCAAAGAAGCTAAGAGGTTGTTGTTAGGCTTGACGCCAAGTAGACCAAGACCCTTTTAGCTTCTCTAAAATCACTGTTGGCAGTAAACTGAATGTGTTATTGCTAAAGAAGTACACTGCAATTGTATGAAATAGCAACAGAAGTGATAATGGCTAAATTTGAATAAAAATGGAGAATGAATTTTTGTCTTTTCCAACAGGAAATCTTTCTTAAAAGGTAGCAAAAGTGATGCATTAATAATATTTTGTATTCATTTTTTAAGTTAATTTTTAATGAAAGTAATAAATAATATAAAATATTTAAAGAAATTAAAATATTTAAAATATGCTTTCCTGCATTCTTGCCTAGCTTTAGGGGAGTCAGCAGGCGGTTAGCTTAGCTGAGCTAAAAACTAGCCTTGCTCTTTCAAAAAAAAAGAACCATCACCTCTAAAGTCTTCTTAATAATACATGATATCTTGTTTGTTTTATCTCTACAAAAACTTAAATGTAGAAATGTCATGTTTGGGTTTTATGGGACTTAAGTGCTGGAGCTAAGCTAAGCTAAGCTAATCGCCTGCTGCTAGTCAAGTAGCTTCATATTTAGCAGACAAACATGAGTGGTCATGAGTGGAGTCTTCTCATCTTACTCTCAGCAAGAAAGCAAATGAGTATATTTTCAAAAATGTCTATTACTATTTCTTTAAAATAACAAAGTGTAAAATATTTGTGGCTAACAATTTACATCTTGTAAATTTCAGAGCAAAGAAGTTGGAATCCAGATGCAGGATGAGCTGCTAAAGGTCACCACTGAACTCCAGACAGTGAGCACTTTATCATATTGTCCCGCATGCAACTATGCAAAATATTATTGTAGTAATGCAGAGTCAATGCTAATGTGGAGTTTATGTTAAGGCTATGAAGACGTACAACCAGTACCACACAGACTGTTTGATAGCTGAGGGGAAGCTGAAGGAAGCCGAGCGGCTGGAAGAGAGACACACTGGCAAGTCGGCTGAGCTCGGCCCCGGCCAATCAGGGGGACAGAGGCGGAGCTCTGTGAAGAAGATGGAGAGACTGATGGAGAAGGTGAGCGCATGTGTGTCTCTGTGTGAGAAAGAATGTGAGAACAGGTGACAGGAAATCTTGAAGAATATCTTTCCACAGAACAACAGAACATTTCCTGTTCTTCTTGTCTTATCTGAGTGTGTTTACGGGTATGAACGTCACAGTTTTATAGAAGCATACCTCCTTTACACATATGTTTTTGAGTAAGAAGGTGCAACACACATGATATCATAATGTGTTGTCATGGTCAACACATGGTGTTGTGTTCTAACATAAGTTATCTTACTTGTTTTTCGTTTTGTTTGTGTGTGTTTGTGTGTGTGTGTGTTTGTGCACAGAGGCACGGTCGAGTGCAGGAGACCCAGCTGAAATGCACAAAGGCTCGTAATGACTACCTGCTGAATCTAGCAGCATCCAATGCAGCTATGAACAAATACTACCTGCAGGACCTGAGCACTCTCATCGATGTAAGAAACATACAATTTCAGTTGTGTCATTGTTTGTGTGTTTATGAAACTGTGAAAGTGTTCGGTGGTTTTTCAGATAAGTTTTTGTGCCACTCTTTCCTGTTATTTTCTGAAGAAAAGCGTACCTTTTTTTTCTCACACACTACAACCACCACGTTATTTTTTCTAATTCTTTCTTTCTCCCTCTTCATCCCTTCCATCCCCATTTCCTCCTTCCCTTTTTCTCTCCCTCCTTCCATCCATCTTTTCCTCTGTCCTCTCCCTCCTTCCCTCCTGGCAGTGCTGCGACCTCGGTTTCCACCTGTCCGTGGAGAGGGTGATGAGGTGCTACCTGGCCAGTAGGTTGCGCATCCAGAAGACGGAGGAGACCGGGCTTAAGCAGCTGGAGGCAGCCGTGACATCTCTGGACCAGGGCGGAGACAGGGATGCGTTACTACAGCAACACGACGCCGCCTTCTGCCTCCCGTTCAGATTCAACTACCACCCACATGAGGGAGACCAGGTGAAGTCACTGTTGCCTACCTCCGGCACAGGTGTATGGTTTCTGTGGAAGTAACTTTTTGTTATATTCACAGGTGTAGTACCCATTGTCTAGTCAAAGACACAACATTGACACCATTTTGGTTTATTATGTAACTACTGCATAATTGTATGTTGTCTTTTTCGTGGCCATTTTGGTTGTCAACACTAACAAAAGTGTAAGGAACGGATGAAACAGTGTGTTTATGTGCTTTAAGCCGCTAACATTAGCATGTCTAGCTAACTAGCTTACTACCTACTGAATAACCTAGCATTTACTTCCAAAGCCAAAGGGCATATCGTCAGCTGACTATTTTATTATGTGGGGTTACATGTTACGTTGTGCTAGCCAAGATGTTACTATATGACAGTGTCGGCTAAGGTTAGCAGTTCTCTCCTGCTCTTTCTTTGGTTTGGGAAGTTTAGACTCAAGCAGCCTCAGCTAAACTCTTTAGCTAAGATAGCGTTAAGTTTCCCCAACTCATCGGCTAGCCCTCTTTGTTTTTCTGTAGTAGGCATCTGGTGCTGGCTTTTTGCCTGGGACATGTAGGTTTAACTTGAGTCTTTTAGCATTATATCATGTTTTGTCATCTTTAAAGAGAGTGAATTGTCAGCTGGAGACAGAGTTTTCAACCAATTCACAGAGTTAGCGTAATTTAGCTAACTAGCTACAGCTCATCAGCTGGAAATGAGCATCCTGCTTTTTCATGCCTCTGTATAAAATTAAAACCCCATTCAGAAATGACTGTTACTTTCAAAAGGTAATCTGCCTTGTTTTTCTGTGGTTGATTGGCAGGTTTGACCGACATAGCAACAGTAACTAAGAGGGGTGGGGTTTAGTTGCATCCATATTTCAGTGTGCAGAGTGTGCAGAGTCCTTATTTGAATGTTAGCCCTTATGCTTCTACATGACCCATGTATTACTTGCAGACCCTGTGGACTGTAGTTAACTTTACTTTGGATCAGTGGGTGAACTCTGTTCTGTGCAATTATGACCTGTACCCTGCTAAATTTACAATGGCAGCTATAGGTTTTTTTACACTGAAGTTCCTGTTGCTTAGTTTACATTTATTACATAGTGCATGCAAATTGTTCTTTAATTTATTTGTGTTTATAAAGTCGACTTAAACAAAGACTGAAGGAAAAAGTATTTTCACTGCGCCCATCACCCTCTGCTCCTCTCATCAAATAATAATCACCTTTCACTCTTCCAACAACATCCCATTGATTTGAATGTGAAGATGCCTCTTAGTGTTATATAATGTATTGTTTGTGTATTTCAGGTATGTGAAGTGAGTGCGGAGAGCCAAGTGAGGTACGAGCTGGAGACCAGGTTCCAGCAGCTCCAGTCTCGACTCGCTGCCGTTACCTTGGAAACGGAGGAGGTAAGCTAATTATTACCTCTACCTGTTTCCATAATGATCTGTCTGTCTGTCCCCATCTGTCTGTCCATCAGTCACTCACTCAGTGACAATGTCTTTACATTGTGTTACATTGAATAAAAAAATGCCTTCACAAAATATCTAATCAATTAAATAATGATGAATAAAAACAAATCAACCTTTCCTTCCCCTCCTCAGATCAGTAAAACACTTAAAGCCACACTCACAGCCCTGCTGGACAGCATGTGTGACAGTGACTGCAACCCCTCGCCCGATGTGCCCAGCGGCCTATCAAACGAGGCCCCTGGGGGAAGTACTGCCCCAAAACTTACCCTTGCCAAGCGTCGAGCCAATCAGCAGGAGACAGAGACCTATTATTTTACAGTGAGTCAATGCATAGGTCACAATCATTGCTTTTGATAGTTCCAACATTGGCTGTATATCAAAACAAAGATGTCCATCTCTGAAATGATGTGCATGTTTTAGTTTGTAGAATTACATTTTCTTACCTGAGTACAGTTGATCATTAATTGTGTTTTATGCTGGTATTGTCATTGTTTTTTTTTTCCTGAGGAGAATCTGAACACTATAAATCAGTGGTTCTCAAACTGTTTTACGCCAAGGACCCAAACTGACACAAATTAGACCGCTGACCGCCATTTGATAAGATTCTGCCCCAGGATCTCCCATCTGATAAGATTTTTGCTTTTAGTCATACGTTCTGTCATTGTGTTACTTATGGATGAATTATAGTGAAAATAAATGATTCCCCTTTATTTCTTGGGACCCCCAGGAGCCCCGTCAAGCACCCCTGGGGGTCCCCAGACACCACTCTGTGACCCACTGGTTTAAATCATGTTTGAGGAGCTTTTCCAACCTGACAAGGACTCAGTTGTTACCTACTTAATACATATGTTTGTTTTTGTTTTTTCTCTCAGAAAGTGAAGGAGTTCCTCACCAGCAGTTCTCTGACCTTCAAACTTCAAGCCAAACATGACCTTCTACAAGATGCCATACAGAAAGGTACTCTTCTTCTATAGTGTGAGATAATTGGTAGGGCCACTGGTTGAATCTGTGAAATGATACCTCTGCTAACTCTGATCACTGCAGAATTTCCAAAGTTCCACTCCACTGATATAACATTTAACTGATATAACACTGTCAGACTCACGCTGTACAGGATCAAAATCTATACAGCTGAACCAGAGATATTCTCTTTTCTTTTTTTTTTTTTTACTTCCTCTCATTCTTCTTCCTTTTTAAAACCTGCCTCAACCCAGCTTCAAGCCACTAACCTCAAGCAGAGAGAAGCGGGCTACAGAGTCACTTGAGGGCATTTATCAGACTTCACACAGCTCCCTCTGGAGTCAGAAAAGGCCTTTTGTCACATATGCAGTAGTACGCCTCAAGACCTGTACACAAAGTTTGATGCGCAAAATCGGTTCCCCTTTAATACTGCTGCACAGTCTTTGCACCAGGGCCCTAGAACAACCCTTGTGTACTCTCTCTGACTTGTTTGTCTGTCTCTTTCTTCCAGCTGAGGCCGTCGACAGTGACCCTTCCAGGTAAACAATGTATTTACACAGCCGAGAATAAAGAGAGTGTGACTGAGAGAGGCACAGAGACATGGAGAGAGCAGAGAGGACAAAGAGAAGAGGAAAGAGACTGACTGATCAAATTTAAACCAAAATGTTGATTTCTTTTTTCGGAGGGTGGAAATACTTAAAGTGTAACTAATCATAGCAATTAGATCTTGAGTATTAATACCCACGTGTAAAATGGCATCATGCATTTTATTTATTATATTTCCCAGAATGCAATGTGCTCGGTCAGTGCGTGTGCGGAAGTCCAGACCTGTTTCCCAATTCTGCCACACACTCTTCACCACAGACATAGTCTCCTACATACAGGTAACACTCATACACACACACATACAAATAAAACAGACCCTTGTGTTAACCTCCTTTTGATTTGCTTGCTGCACTGTGCTGCTCTTCAACCCTCCGAAAGGAAATTTTTGCAGACTCCTGTCACACTGATGCAGAAGAATATAGGGTGGGGGGGGGGGTCTTGCCAAAAAAGCACACACTAACCCTCCATCTTCCCAGTGTACTTACTGCCGCCTTCATGTGTATGGTCATGCTTATAGCTTACTGCTGGCTTTCTGTCCTTTCAGTCCATTCCCTCCTTTTATCTCTCCCTCTCTTGTGAAAGGGATTAAAACGCACTGGCCTCTTTGCTGCCTCCTCTCTCGACTCCTCTATTGAGTGTGTGTGTGTGTGTGTGTGTGTGTGTGTGTGTGCTTATGTGCGGCCTCTTCCCACTGCTTCCAAATCTTTATTCCCCCTTATTTCTCGCTCTCCCTTTTTCTAATCTCTGCTTTTTCTCTGTCTCCTCTCTGCTGTGCTTGGCTTGGTGCAGAAGAAGAAGGAGAATGTCTCGGACACAGGTACTGAAGCCCAGCTGTGACCTCTTATATACAGCAAGCAGGCCGGTGGGCTGTTGAAGACACTCTTTAACTGGAACATTTTTGAGCTTTAGCAACATCTACAGTTTAAAAACATAAAGGAATAGTGCAACATTTTTGAGAAATCTTTTTAGTTTTACAGCTGCTGTCTGTGATCCAGTCATCGTTATGTAACTCTGCACCGCTGAGCTGTCTGATAGTGGTGAAATACTATTTTAATCTTCCATGGGCAGCAGTCCTAGCAGTAGTTGACCAATATTTTTTAGACTCCCTGTATTTAAATTTCAGGCAAAATTAATTAATCAATACATGAGTCAGTACTTCTCCTCCAGAATTTTTTAAGATTTTATTTTACAAGTGCACAACTACCTTATTATTTCTTTGAACATTTCCTGGGCAGGACAGGTTACAATGAAAATACAGATAAATTTCACAACTTGAATGTTAAAAAGGTGTTTCCATTTCAATTTTGCAAAATACTACTTTATTGAATAGTTTGAAAAACCAAATTCACATTTCCATTGCTGATTTTTAAGATCGCATTTTCAAATGACGCATTTTGCAGGTTAATGGAAACGCATCAACCCCAAAAAAAAGTAATTTTATTGCCCACTCATTGGTATTCCCCTGCTCTGCTAACTCTGTTGATCTCCTCTTTCTATTTATTTGCTTTTTTCCTCACATAGTATCTTCCTTTACACATTCCTCCTCCCTGTCGTGGCGGTTATTTTCTATATCAACCTTGTCGTCCTATTTGTATCTGTATCACCATCCTCACTCTCCTTTCTGTCTCTAACACTCTCTTCTCCCCTCTTCTATAATCGTCTTTCTTCTCCAGAGCTCTGGGCAGCAGATTCCTGTGGTGGTTGAAAGCTGCATCCGTTTCATAAACCTTCACGGTGAGTCACTTTTTATGATGAACCACTAAGCCACGCTGAGAGAGCTTTGGACGCTGAGAATGAGTAGGTGGAAGTACTCGTTTGTGTATATGTATGAGGCATTTATGATCATTTAATGTAATATGAATGTGTGTGTGTGTGTGTTTGTGTGTGTGTGTGTCAGGCCTCCACCATGAAGGAATATTCAGAGTTCCCGGGTCACAGCGGGAGGTTAACCTCATTAGAGATGCATTTGAGAGAGGTAAGTGACCTCATCTTATAATAGTGTTTTCCTGCAAAATAAAGGTGAAGTGGAGCCACTGAAGCGGCATCACTTTTTCCTCTGGTGGAGAACAGGAAAATAAAATATATTTTTTAATTATGTTGTTGTCGAAACACATTTCCGTTTGTTGCATATTTTAACCACTCCAGTGGATTCATGTCAGTCAAAAAATGACCTCCAAACCATGTTTTAATTTTCTCAACCGGAGGAAGCCAGTAAAACCTCACACACTCAGAAAAGCTTTATAATTGTAAGAATCCTCAAAACATACTGGAAACACACAAAGTGCATGTGCAAAACTCGATTATTATTATTATTTTTAATTTCTTCTTCTAGTTATGTGGCCTGAGGTTTACGCCTGTTGACCCAATGAAACACAAAACTAACATCACAAATAGTGTGACTAATTACCTATCACAGTGAGTAAATACATCATCCATGACTTTAAAGCTGCAGTAATCAGTTTGCTGCAGCCAAAAATGAGGTTGTGAGAGCAGTAAGAGTTGTCCACAACAGTAATGCTGTGGTTTGTAGAACCAAAACAATGAGCTGAGAGCTCAGTAGCGCTGAGGGTTCTCAGGTGATGATTCTGTGGGTTTGTAACACTGTGAGGAAATCCTCTCATATGCAGGCAGTCATTTGATCCATTGTTACTATAGAAATACTGATTACAGTTAGTTTAAAGAAAAGGAATAAGTAATATAATGTGATTATGGATATAATAATGATCCCAATTATCTTTACTAGAAACTATAAATTCCCAATAATTTAAAATTTAGGAACACAATTTTACATCTTACAGGAGTGTCCTGTCATTTTCGACAGCTTAACTGTAGATACACCTTGTTGTTGCATGATAAACAGAACGTAATCTGTTGTTTGTACATTGGCATGTTCATCACACATGTCTGTTTTACCTCCCTGTAGGAGAGGATCCTCTGTCAGACAGTGAGTGTGACCTGGACTCTGTGGCCGGCGTGTTGAAGCTTTACTTCAGGGGCCTTGAGCCTCCTCTCTTCCCTTACGACAGCTACTCTCAGCTTCTGGAGTGTGTCCGTAAGAAACTCCCCTCCTCCTTATGTAACTTCCAAATCTGTGTGTGTGTTTCTGATTTCACTTGGGTTTTCACATCTGCTTTCAGTTACTTTTTCAGTTTATTTATATAAATATAATCTGGTTTCCAGGTTCTTACTGAACCTTGGTAAAGCTCGCTCTTGCCCTCATGCACAGTAGAATGTGGGTAAATTCTTTTGCATGTTAATAAATCTGCTAATTTTAACGTGGCTTTGTGCAGCTACATACTTGCTGCACCACCACTGATCTTTCACACATCAGTGGTTGTGCATCAGTTTGTGAAATTCTCCCTTACAAATAGGCTACATGTACTGTTGATGCAAGGTGGTGCAACTTCTGCTCTCTTTCCTGGTGCATCTCACTGTCTTGTTTGCTCTCTGTTGTTATCTCTTTCACTGTCTCCTTTTATCATTACTGTTATTCCTTTAGGCATGTACCCAGATCTGTTTTCCAAAGCAGAAACTCTGAGTCACAATTTGCACAGATAACGAAAGTTGTGAACCTGCCTGCAGGTCGTTTACGTCCCATAAATATTCAGATTAACTGGCAGTGGCCTAACAAATCAACCCACCCCTCACTTCAAAAGTCTAAGTATTTGTCACAATATTTCTTTAAGTCTTGCTGTATTTCTCTTTCCTTTCTGTCATGATCAGAAATCGAGGGAGAGACAGAGAAAGCTGCCCAGATTAAAGTGATTGTCTCCACCTTCCCACGGCCTCTCCTCGTCGTGATGCGTTACCTTTTCGCTTTCCTCAATCAGTAAGCCACAACACAACCCCGTGTGGGATATTCTTTTACTTCTACCATCTGCTAAGGTCATAAAATTTTACAACCATGTCAAAAATAAAATTGTGTGTGTGTGTGTGTGTGTGTGTGTGCATGCGTGCTTGCGTGCGTGCGTGCTTGCGTGTGTGTGTTTTTCCAGTGTGTCTCAGTACAGTGATGAGAACATGATGCAGCCGTACAACCTGGCCGTTTGCTTCGGCCCGAGTCTGCTGAGGGGAGTGGATTCTGATGACGCTGTTGCTAGGCAGCCACAGGTTAATGACCTCGTCAAAACTATGATCCTCCAACACGACATCATTTTCCCCGGCCAATCAGAACTGCCAGGCCCCGTCTACGAGAAGCACATGACTCTGGAGCAGGAGTACTGGTGAGAGATGAGTCGTCGCTGACATAAATGTTGCATTAGTTGTGATGAAATGCTGTTAACATCAATATATAATTGTTGCAAAGATGAGTCAGAAGATGTGGAGCTTTGAAACTGACAAAATGTAATAAGAGGTTATCAGACAAGTCAGAAGTATAACTGACTACATCAAAAAATAATATTGATTGTTAAATAAATAAATGGAGCATAAAGCGATGGCCTCTGACTTGTAATTGGAGATATCAGGAGTTTCTGTCTCCAACCTGGTGAAAAGAGCTACAAACATGGCAGCAATCTGCCAGTGGTGATGTGTTTGTAATTAAGTCAGTCAAGTTTATAGAAGGTAGTTTGTTTGTATCTGGTTTCACTTGGTAATGAACTGCTACAGATACATAACACAACAAAAAGAAGCTAATTTAGACTGTTTATCTGGTGTGACTACAAAGTTAGCATTAGGGCTAACTAGCTTGGAATAATACTTGAACACTCCCAAGTCAGAATAAGATGTGTTTTTCTTCTCCCCATTCTGACAACATTGTGTGAAAGCAGCAGTAGCTAAGGCTTTTTACCTGGCAAGACGCCACGAGCAATGTTAGCCTGCTCACACCATTTTGGACCTTTTAATTTCTTTTATCTACTAATAGAAGCAGGGGAAAAATTAGAGAGCTTTTTGTTGTTTTACCAACTAACTGGAGAAAAGGGAGGGAAAAGTATAAAGCCTTTTCTACCCTAATTATTTAACTGAATTAATAATTGGTGCATTTGGTTGGCACTATAATTTTAATTCATCTGATAACATTTTACTACATTTTGTAATTTTTGTGCGCTTGGTATGAAAATGGTGTTGATGCATTTGGTCAAATCTGGTTGGATTAAAGGTTTAAGCACAAAAACCATCTCAGTGTAGTTTTACATCTCCTCTGTCAGGCTTCTCTCCGAAGCTCTAGCAACAACAGGTCGGTGAGCCAATCACATGAGAGGCTCAGAGGCTCTCTTCTGATTGGCTCACTGTTTTCTGAGTGATTGAATGAAAACATAACAGATTTCAGGTAAACACTCAGAGAAACCAAATCCTAATAGGTTGGATGGTGGGTGCGGGTGGGGCCAGGTTTGGGGAAAGGCTGAGTGTAGTGGGTGTTTCGTTGTGACATCACAAAGTTACAGAAGTCCTAACGGCTCGTTTTAAGGCTCCCGCTCTGAATACAGGCTGTGTGCATTTCTCTGTGGACTGAGGCTTTGATACTTTCACAGTATTAATATAGAAGCTAGACCTGATCTATAATCAAAAAAGACATGGAAAACTCACTTTATAAAATATGGGACCTTTGATTCACCATGAATATCAAGCTGGCCTCTGTTATTTTTGTTTGAACATAATATAACCTGTGTTCTGAAAAACCACGTTGACTTATTTCTGTCCTCTGACGACTTGTAGTAAATGAATGACTGAGCTACAGCCTGGCTTACATGTTAGAGTTCAATACTCTGTCGGTTCCAAGTATGTAGAGCAGCTTCCTCTCAGCCCCCTTTTTATGGCTCATCCTCTTGAAACAGAATTTCATGCCACACCAAAGGCATTTCTGTGCAGCTCGAAATGCTTTGTGTAAAAACCGCTTAATACTATTAAGCTGATTGCTCACTGAAATTGAACACAAGCCTCCAGCCTATCGACAGTGTCCATGGAAACCTCTAACACCCCCAAATCAGCTTTTAAGGAATTCAATAAAACTCTGTTCTCCTCCTGAACATTTATAAAATGCACTTTTTGACACATGACAGAGCGTTATCAGTGATTTGGCTTCTTGTTTTCTGCAGATTTGAGGGTCATTTGGAAAGTCTCACAGCGGTATTACTCATTACTCATCTAGTGTGAAATTGCACAAGTGAAGTGGGGAATTGTTTTATAGAAAGAAATAGTTTGCTATGACAGTTGGTGCGTGAGGAACTGTGCATGACCACCGACTTTCATTTTTCTGTCTGCAGTGAACCAATCACAGAGGAGGGAGACGGAGAGACTGAGCATCTGCCCAGTGAGGATGGTGAGTGCATACAGTACACACACACACACACACACTCACACACTCACACACATGTTGTTACAGGTCACTGGGGAAATGAAATAGACTTGCGATCATTTACCATAACCATAACCAATACTTGCCTACCTCTAAATTTAACATAGCCCAAACATCACCCACTGACCCATAAATCAGCTTCTTCCCAATTGGGGACACAGATTTTGTCCCCAGTTGGGCAAACTGTCCCCATTTGACTGGTCTTTCGTCTTAAATTTGTGCTTCACCATTTGCTTCACTCACCACACATACATAAACACTAACTTATCCCCATTTAGATTCTGAATAACCTTTTAAATCCTGTTTCATATTCACACATGAATCATATGAATAACATTCATTTTAAAAAAAAGATGCATTTTGATGAGATGATAATCAGGCTGTGTGTGTGCATGTGTGTGTACAGAGTGGGAAGCAGTAGCTATGTTTGACTACGTGGCGAGATCTCCAGCAGAGCTGTCGTTCAAGCAGGGAGAGCTTCTCGTCCTTCACAGCAAGGCCTCCTGTGATTGGTGGAGAGGTGAAGCGGGAGGGGTTAAGGGCCTCATCCCTCACAAGTACATCAGCGTGCTGGAAGCGTGAGTTACATTTCTACCTTTGTACAATAGTCAAGATCATCTGCCCTGATGACTTTACTGTACTTTAAATGGATCTTGGAGCCTCTTTCCCAGTTTGAACTGAATAGAACTTGTTCTATTTACTTTCTAATTGTTTTACCAAATTGCTTGTATTTGCCACGAACGCCATGTCCTGCTGAGGTGTTGTAAGGAGTAAGCCCTAACTAAGGATGGTTACAAGGCTAAATATGCAGAACAGAAACAGTTTGATTTTCTGTCCGTGTGAGAACACAAATACACAACAAAATGTATTTTGCAAATAATTTACATGCTTTTCATACACATAGATATAACATATAATATTATGGGAAATACGCTGATTTTTCTTACTTTAAGTTAGATGAGGAAATCGATGCCACTCTCATGTCTGTCTGCCTAAATGTGACATTACAACCAGGAGACGGTTAGCTAATTTTAGCATAAACATTGGAAGCAGGGGGGAAACAGCTAGCCTGGCTTACAGAAGTATAATCCACCCACCAGCACCTGTAAAGCTCACTAACTAACACATCCAGAAACTGAGGTGTAGAAATGGCAATGAATGGGTTTACGCAGGATTAAGTGCCTGGCTTCTTGATGGGGGTGACATCTGGGAGTCACTGCTCTGGGATAGGAAATAGTTTTCTACATAACTCCTAATAAAACTACAAAATGTATTATTTACACTGCTGGTAAATTTAATTTTGATTAATGAGCTTTAGAGGTGTTTTGGTTGGGGTTTTTTTGCCTTTGGATCTTTGTTTCCCTCTGTTTCCAGTCTTTATGCTAAGCTAAGCTAAGCTAACTCTGCTGCTGGCTGTAGCTTCATATTTATCAGGTGTGGGAGGTTTGGCATCAATCTTCTTTAACTCCAAAAATGTCAAACTGTTCCTTCAAATCGATATTAATTCTTCATTTTCTGACATGTTGAAAATAAGCAATAAACATCACCGATACTAAAATCACCTGATAAAATGTGCAGTTCTGCAGCAGGTAGGATTTCTGCTACGGCAGCTAACATGTGCCAGTTTGTGTCCAGGTTCACAGCAGTTAGAAATAGCAGCTACTGGAGCAAACACTGGAAAATCAGACTTATAAAGAAATGCTGTATCTGAGCTCTCAGACGTGTGTGTGTGTGTGTGTGTGTGTGTGTGTGTGTGTGTGTGTGTGTGTGTGTGTGTGTGTGTGTGTGTGTGTGTGTGTGTGTGGTCGGGTGCCATGGTTTTAAAGTTTTTGGAAGCAGAGAGAATCAGAGAAAAGTATTTGAACGTTCGTTTTCTGTTCTTGTGTGTAGGTGTTTGAACTGCATATCTAATTCACATTTCCTTATACTCTTCCACAGTTAACTCTGGCCATAGTCATATGTGATACAGATAAAGTACAGCCTGTATTCAAAGAGGATGGACTAAATAACATACAATACCATACAATATTGAACAATAGAACTCAGCTGCCATGGTCTCAAAAATTGCCATGAATTTGAATTAACATTGACACAGACTCAACAGTTTTAGAGAGGTAGTACTTTTGTTTTTATATTGTAAGGACTTTGGATTATTTTGTCCACCTTTTTTCTTTTTTACAAAAGATTCCATATAAAAAAATCTGGTGACACTATTTTACTCTTGCTTCTGCTTCTTCTCCCTCCTGAAATTATTTTGTCACTAAGTCTTTATCTCATATTCTCATATTTAAACTTGTACTGGTTGTACTTTCTGTAATGAAATATACGCTTAATATATCTTCTCTCTCTTCTCTCTTCTATTCCTCCCTCAGGTCAGAGCGAGGGAAAAGAGAGGAAGGAGGAGGAGGAGGAGGAGGAGGAGGAGGAGGAAGCACTGGAAACCTGTCAGCAGAAGATCCACAGACTGAGAACACAACTCGGTATACACACACACACACACACGCACACACGCACACACACACACACACACACACACACACACACACACACACACACACATAATCAAATCCACATTGCGATATATGAATATATTCATATCAACAAACACATGTAGCATTAGATACTAAAAAACTAGTCTTATACTTCCATATTATTTCACACAGTTAAACGGACAAACTGACACACATGAATGCACACAACACAAAGTTACTGAGTCTCTGTGTGTGTCCTGACAGGATGCGGGTGAACAGCGACAGCGCTTCGTTGCCTGGAAGACAGAGAGGGAGTGAAGGGAGCCCAAGTCGAAAGCCGCCGACCTCCCCCGCCACACGACACCTGCCAGTGTAAGACTGACACACACCTCAGACACAATGCATATTGCATGCATGTGCTGTATGACATATGAAAATACTTCATGCTTGACGCATCACTGAAATACACAGAGGTTTATATCCTCTTGAGATACAGGGGATGAATATTATTCACATGGAAGGGAAATAACGATGGATTGATAACAATGGATGATATAGTTATGTGTATCACCTGACTCTGCAGCCCTGCTCTGCACTGTGCAGGTGTTTAGTGTCTTTCAGCTCATTGTTTTGGTAACTTTTACTGTTGTGGTTCGCTCTCAGCGCTCTCATAAGTGTCGTTGTGTGTCAGTTGACCACCGCCCCTTTGCTCAACTGTATAACTGTCCCCCTGCCCTTCACTGCGGGTCAGTCTATTGCCACAGATCCATTCTGTGTCAACTGAGCTGAAACCCAATCCCTTTAAAAAGTGTAAACCTCGGGCTCTCTGTCGGTCTTTGCTGCCATATTATTTTTATTACCGACACGCAATGAATGTTGGGATAGGCTGGGCCAAGAAGGATCCACCTGTTGGAGCCCCGGGAAAAGAAGGCAGCATTTCTCTGCCACATTTGAAGGAGCCTTGGTAATGGGACAGCCTGGTCACGCTGCTGTGATGCAGTCGGTCTTCAAATGCAGCCTCTGAAGGGTGCCGCCCCTGAATTGGGACACAACTAGATATTTCCCTCAGAAGTTCGTCGAAGTCAAAGGTTAACCAAAAAGGAGATTGAATATCCGACCGCTGCTCTGTAACTGCTTATCCAGCAAGTTCACCATGCTGTATCACATCACTTTATAAGGTGATAACATGTCAGTGTTGTGTTTACAGCTTGTTTCCACTGCCCCCAAGTGGCCGGAAAATCTTTTATTGCATGTTTAAAATGAAAGTAATACATCATGGCTCCATACCAGAGACACCAGCTTGTGAAAGCTCTTACAAACACTCCTGTACATGGCATCAGTATTGTTAATGGAGGGATTAGTCGTGGTGTTCGCAAGTGCTATTTGGCTGCGAAAGGGGAAAAACTGGAGTAAAGAGAGTCTGGTCTGCATTTCAATTATGAAACAGTTGCTATGATCAAACTCTCAAACTTCAGTGTGAGTGAGTAGATGATGAAAAACGTCTCTCGCCAAAATATGAAACAGATATCAGCAGAAATCAGCACCCTTCTTTATCTTTATATCAACCTATCTCATCTCTAATCGCCTTCTAACTGTGTTTCAGGTCTCAGGAGAGAAGACACACTCTGGACACTGTGAGACAGGGAGGCTTCAGACCCCCAGACAGACCTCCATTTGGCCAGGCTGACAGAGCACCAGTCGACAAGGTTAGTAGTTCATCCTATTAGACCATTTCTTTTAAATCAAATGTCACAAAATAAAGCAAAACAACAAAGGATACTTGAAATGTAGTCATTTATGGCAGACCTTCTGCCTGTGAGGACCTGGAACCCACTCACTTGGAGTTCATTACATTTCTTTCAGTAATACATCATGGCTGTGCTGTGAAAAGCAGGTTTGCTTTAGTTTTCTAACAACTTTGCTGAATAAAAGACAAAGCCGTCACAGCTGCAACATGGAGTGATCTGAAAAAAACTTTTTCTCTTTAAACTGTCTTGGAACAGGGCTTTGAGATGGTGTTCAGATAATATTGTAAACGTCTTACTGTGCTATCTCATAAGCTAATTTGGCGGTGTTACCCTGCTTGCTACAAAGCTACCTAAGATTTCTCAGAAGTCTCACCAGTTTGTTCTGGTTAAATGTGCTGATACTGCTGAAGATACATCCTGTTTTCCACTGACAGCAGCTAAATCTGTAGTATTTATGCTCAGTGACCAGAAATATATGGATATTACTTCTTTAGAAATCCCCTTTCCCTCCCATTTGTGTGTGTGTTGCTGCATAAACAGACACTTCGCTAAGATGAAGTTGAATCAATCAATTAAGAACTGACTTAAAATGTGATCTAACAGACTTTGGTGGGTGCTGGGAGCGTAACTTTGAGCATTGCCAAGACTTTACAGTTCCTGGCCAGCAATTTTGGATGCTGACAACAAAAGAACAAGGATATAAGAATATATTTGATATGTGATGTTGTAGATAATCCGGGGAACTTTCTTGACTGATTCTCTCTTTATGAGGTATAAACACAGGGTGGCTTTTCTGTTCATAGTAAAGACCTTTGGGCTAGGCTCAGACACATGAGCACAGGACTGGAGATGAATGGAAAAAAAAGCTTTATAATAAGCTCCAGTTTCAACTAGAGCACCACATCATTTCCCCCGCTGGCTTGAATAAAGGTTCAGGGACATTCAGCTGGCAGAACTACAGTATTACAGCATGTTGCGATAGATTGTGCTCAGTTTTCACAATAGAGGTTCAGTTTGCAAAACTCTGCAGCAGACTAACTAACACATCATGCAATGGGTTTATCAGAGCATCACAGCTTTGTGTATGTTTAGCACTCAACTGTAATCATTGCTGCATGTTAGAATAAAATGATCTTTATCAAATAATGCTGTCAAACTGTCATTTCCTTAAGATTATACAAGTAGCACTGTTAAAAAAATGTGTAATTTAGGCAGAAGTCAGAACTTTAAATGATGTACAGTAAGAATAACTTTTGAAAACACAAATTTTCTTCATTGAATCTGTGTTGCTGTAAATACAGATGATAAGTCTGACTTTATATTAGATTTTTTCCTGTTCTGTATCAACCATAATGTTCCAATTACTTGCAAGTTTAATGCTCTAATACAAAGTAAACTACAGTAATCCTTCAATGCATAAAACATTTGCACTACTGTTACAGACACTTAATACATTGCAACATATTAACACTAATAAAAAAAAAAGGTTGAGAAGTGATAATCCAAATACAAAGCTGCTTATCTTGGTGACGACGTTAAAAAAAGGAGAGCTGCTTACAAACACATTGAAATGCATTGATTCAGTGATCTGTATTTTAAGCAGTGAAATATGTTGTAATATGAAGAGTCTATGTTGTAAAAACTGATTGTGATTCAGTGTTTTTCGCTTTTTCTGCAAGTTTCGCAATCTGTGTTTAAAAGTGAAGATTTAGCAAGTCAGTTTGGCTCTTTGCACATTAAAACATTATCCTGAAAAATGAGCTAACGCAATTGTAAAACAGTTTAATACGTGTAGATGAGTGCACTGATTTCAGAACACACCTGAACATCAGGTCAGGTTCAGTCAGGAGGAGTCATCTAGGTCAGGCTTTACATTTTAATTATCTTCCGCGTGTCTCTCCCTTGATGTTTGCTGTTCCTCCTCTTGCTCTCTCAGGAGATGATCAGCCGTCAGATGAACTCAGTGTTCAAGGAGCTCCTGTCACGGCAGCCTCCTCTCCAGGCGTCCGCCCTCGCCACCCCTGCTGCCCCTGCTCCCCCTGCTCCCTCCTCTTCCTCTTCTGCTCTTCCTCAAGCTGCCCCCGCTGCCAAAAAAGTAGGATTCGGCCTCAGAGGACGGGCCCTTTTCCGACCGATGGACTGAGAGAGAGGAGAGGATGACTGGAATCACTGATTTATTGTTCAACGACGATGATGATGATAATGATAATGATAATGATAATGATAACGATAACGATGATGATTACACTGATGACAATGATGCATTTGGTGAAGATATTGATTTATTTTTTCGACACGTGTATAATATTTGCGTCTCTGCCATCTCATAGTGCCACTAGTCTCGGTGCCGTGTTACTGTACGTCCAGTGTGTCTGTTTTCCAGCTGGTTTTTATGTTCTGGTCTCTTTTTGTTCTCCAGGCTTTTGCAATTTTTTGGAGAATCAGGGATGTGACATCACCAGTGATATCACCAGATTGACTTTTAGAAGTGGTCGCCATGATGCTTACATCAAAAATAACAAAAGACTTATGCTGCCCCCTAGTGGCAGGTCTGAGACCAGCTCTCCTTATGATGTTTTCTTTATTTTAAATAACAAAGCTGATCTGGGGCCTGTGTCTAGGAGTGCCTTTACATCTTATTATCTTATTCTTCTTCACCTTTATTTCACTTGAAAAGACCTGATAGGTTTAAACTCTTCATATTATGTTTAAAAATGTGATCCAGAAAGATGTTTATGGAACCCTGAAGTGTTCAATATTAAATAAATAAGACATTATACAATGAAGAATCATATGAATAACTTGTGTAAAATATATATTGACCAAAAATTGTTGAATAACTAAGGAAATTGTTCCAATTTAACTCATCATTCATTTACATAATAATATCTTATAGGATATCATTTTTATGTAATTACTAATATGTGTATTTTAAAACGCCCTTTCTCAAATGTCAGGTTGTATTTCATACCGGAATTTTTCCCAATAACAGTTTTATTTCATGTTACATTTTGTTTAATAATGTCACTTTTCATAACAGTGGTGTTGTCACCTTCATACATCCCCAGCTCAACTGTTACTACCAAATTTAGCCAGTTAGCACTTGCTAGCTAGGGTAACAATACCAACAGCATTATAAATAAACAGAGGATGTTGCTTTAAATAAACACAGTACGCAAACCCAGAAGCTAAACCTCTTTTAGCTAATGCTACCTATCTAGCCGGCTAACAGCTATTGCTAGCTTTTTAATTAGCATCAAACTAAAGAACTTATGATAGCAATGTTATTCAGCTATCTAGCAAACAAAAGTGGCAGAAGTAACTCTGGATTAACCAGCTAATCTTAGCTGCTACCATTAACAATGGTTCTTCACTTGGATTAATCCAAGATAGTTAGCAAGCAAGGTAGGTAGCATGTGAAGCCTTGCTAAGATAAGGCTTAAAAACTAAGACATGGGGGGAGATGTTCGTTTCTCTGTCTGTACTGTTTTTATTTACTGTAGCAGCTAGTTTTTTGTTCTTTTCAGAATTACTTTCACTTCGTCGTTGCTCTAAGTAACAGAAGCTAACTGGCTAACTGATAGCAGTTGTTGAGCTTGCTAACTCAAAGATCGGGGATTTATGTGATTTGCTAAAAGGTAAGAGCATGGTGATAACATAACTGTTATGAAAAATGGTAGCATTCAATAAAAAGTGGCATGAAAGTGTTACTAAAGAAAATATGTTTATAAAATAAAATCTGACTTTTCATTTTGAAATAAATATTTCTATTATGAAATAAAAATGAACTCCTATCAAAAATATTGTAATGAGAAGAATAATGAGTTCAGTTTGAATAATGGCTTAAATTATTTCACAAGTTATTAGTGTTTTTTAATTTAATATTTATTTATTTATGTATTTAATACTGAACACTGTGAGGCTCCATAGATTACTGAGAAAACTGTAAGCAGTGAGGTCAGTATTTAATAGCAGCATGCAGTGTTAGCACACAGACACAGATGAAACACACATTCCCCTTAATATGTGACACATGGCCTGATGCGCAGGCCAACTCTCAGGGCTTTTGCAGAGTTAGAGACTGGCTAACTCAGGTTTGGCTTTGAAGGAATAAGTAAGAGATTTTTTTTCCACTCAGGGCTTTGGTTGACTTACTCTTCAACTGGAAACTGTGCCCTAGCCTCAAGAGCCAAAATGGCCCCCGTATCAGAGAGGATTAAATGATTTCCTCTGGTTTAAACTGTGAATGCAACGGCGACATTTCGGAGCCACAATCGAAACTCTTGTCTCATTCATCCACACATTTTGGCCCCCCTGACTATATATCTAGCACCATCCACAGGTCCCATCCAAATGTATGTTTCAGGATTTTTGCAGTGAGGTGTGCAATTCCTTTGACTCCAAAAGCATTGGAAATGTTTTTATGTATGGCATCTCCCCTCTGTTGTGTTTCAGTATTGGAAACATAGAAGCAGAATCATTTTTTTAAATACTGATTCTTCTTCTATGATTAAAAACACCCTGTTATTCTGGATCACTGTTTGATGATGTCACTAAATTTACTGTGTCCAATTGTATATGTGGTAAAAAAAAAAAAAAAATGAATACAATAAAGACAATAAAGTGATGAATGATTAAGAGGTTGTCAGTGTACTTTAACTGCTTAAAAGTTTGTCAGGTCCTAAAACTAATAGTAAAATAATGCAATATTCAGTCGTCACTGAGTCCGTAAACTGTCCAGCACTGAAATTGGCAATAAATAGTAGAAACATTACTGTCAAATTGGCACAATCAGAGCAAAGTGCGGCTCCATCTGCAGAGCTTGATTAAAGTTAAAGGCAAACCAACTCAGTCATGAATGTTACTACGGCTAAACTGGATAAGGTGAGGATTTTAAGGGGGTTAATCTGAACGTGAACAGTTATCTCTCAGAGCTGGTGCGTTCATACCAAGACACTTCAGTCCATCACTAGATGTGACTTGGAACAGCCTGTGCCGTTTATTGAGTCCTGATCTTAATTGATATCAACAAGTGCACTGTTGCAGTGTTGAACCAAAGTGGCTGCGTCGTCATGTGATCCTCAGCATGTGAGTCAGGAGCCTCTGAGGGGTCTTTTCTCTCATCTTTGCTTCTTTCTCACAAAATAATAGAAAGTTATCCCTCTTCAAATGAAACAGTCTGAGAAGAGAACATCACTATTTGGTTGAACTGCTCAAAACTTGCAATGTAACCTGTGTCAAGGCCAAGGGGTCATAAAGACACATAGCTTTGTTTTGAAGGGTCATAAACCAAAAAGGATAGGAACCTTTAGGGAACGTTAATCCTGACGCTTTATTCTCAAGGAATGCATTGTGGTTAAGATCTAGTGGCAACTATATAGAACCTTAAAACTGCGGTGTCAGTGCCACAACACTGATTGTTTTAAGAAAAAGAAAATATAAGAAAATAAATACATTTAGAAGTGGCCTTACTCTGCTGATCTGAACACAGGTCTGCACACAACAAACCATGAACGATCACTTCCTGTTTATTGATTTGATTTTTATATTGAAGCTTATTAACAACGTGCTCCCACCATATACAGTAAAACACAGATCAGATTTTCACCAATTGATAATATTACATATTGATTGTTATGCTGTAAGTCATTGTACAGCAGCATTAATGTTTCATACTGATACATTCAAGAGATGAAGAACTGAGAGACAGAGGAGAGAGGAGAGATGACTGAGGAAGATGAGACAGAAACTATGGAGGGACAGATGGAGACAGAGAGACAAGATGGCCCTCTGCCCCCCCCCAGGCTACCATACCGCAACCTGTTGCCAACCCATGTACAACCATCTAGATCCGCCACTGCTGTTCTCTGACTCATCACTGTGTCAACTGCAATTCAGCACTCAGGAGTCATGAATTTAGACTTGTCAACTGAACTACCGGTATGTGTGTGTGTGTGTGTGTGTGTGTGTGTGTGTGTGTGTGTGTGTGTGTGTGTATGTGTGTTGTTCATTGTCTGAGTTTCTGTTTTAAGACAGGACCCCAATGCTGTAACAAGATCTTTTAGACCCATCCACTCCTCCTCCGAAAATAACCTCTTCCAAAGCAGCCCAATACACACACACACACACACACACACACACACACACACACACACACACAAACAAGTAAGACGCTCTGTACCGCCACATTAGCACTTCTGCCTCTGTGTGAATTCTTATGAGGCAGATCAGCTCTGAGGGACATTGTGATTAAGTGGTTGAACTGATCTCATTGACATTTTAGATTAGCACTCTCTGCAGGACTCCCCTGCCCCATCTCTCTGCAAGTGTCTCTGTCACTGATACAGGATTTAAAAAAGCTCTTTTAAAGTGAGGTAAGTCAAACATGATTCATCATTTCTGCTGTTCCTGTCCCAGTCGTGGATCTGCTACGATGATTTCTCAACTGCATCGCAACTACATTTTGTCACCCCGCAGCACCTGTTTCATATTTACTGATTCGTGCAAACTGATTTAAAGTCTTTTAATCAGCTGTTTTTCTATATTTAAAACTCCAAGGCAGGATCTCCAATTCAGCTAAACAAACTTATTGCTATAGTCCATGTAGAAAAAAATATCATAGTAAAAGAACACTAACACTGAATGACTACACCGTGTGTTTCATTTTTTGAAATGTAATTTTAAAATTACCAGCTGCTATTTACAGATTTTGGTATGGCTTCTTTTTTGGGGGCTAAAGAACAGGTGGTGGAGCCAGTGCTCAGCTCGCTGTTACACTCTGCAGGGCCTGCAATCTGCTGCAGGAGTGTGTGTTATGTGTGTGTGCGAGTGTGCACTGGTTTTACAGTGTAAATGTTAAAGTTACAAGCAGGATCAGAGAGCAGGTATCCCAATATACTTGACTGTCTATGTTCATCTGTTCCTGTGCATGTGAGAACTGGCATGTGCTCCCTTCCTGCAGTGAGGATGATGATGGTGAGCGACGACTGTCTTGTGGAGTGTAAGATCGATGACGACAGCGAGGAAGATGACGGAGGAGGAGAGCAGATGAACACTCCTCCTCCTCCTCCAGAGTTTGCTTCCAAAGCCCCGACTCCAGCGCCCAAACCTCCGAGCCCTCCCACAGCGCCCGCTACACCCACACCCACACCCACACCCACCCATCCTGTCAACAGGGACCCTTACGGCATCAACAAGCACCTACAGGTCTTATATTGTGTGCCAAAACTGAATGTTTTAAAATCAATTTCGTCTCACCAAAATGATCTTTGCCTCTGAGGTCAATAGTTTATTCTTTTACTGAAGTTGACTTTTCTACACCTCCAACTTCTGTCATTGATAGATCTCTTTTTGCACTCTTCATTGATCGCAGCCTCCTTCATCCAACTGTAATTAAACACTACCGGTCAATCTCAGAGTTGTGTTCAAAGTCCTGGACAAAGTCGTGTTCTCACAACTTGTCCATTTTATTTTAAATCACAAGAATATTTAGGAGAAATTCCAGTCACACCTCAGGATGCACCACATTACTGAGTCAGCTCTGCTGAGGGAAACATATGGCTTCCTACCTGTGGTGGATTATAGTAAGTTAATGAAGCACATGTACTCAGGTACAGTGTTGAGGTACTTGTATTTTACTGCCATACTTTTATCTGATAGCTGTGGTTACTTTTTACAGTAAGATTTTACATTAAAAATCATATGAAACATTATAAAATACAATACCAAATGTCTTAGAGGAAAGCGATGTCCTCTTTGAGCTTCTTATGTTTCACATGTTTGTTGCTGTGGGTCTTATTCCCTCTAAACCTCTCAGTTGGATTCATTTAAATAACTGTCTGAAGCAAGGTAAGGTAAAATTATCCGATATTTCTTACAGAGAAAAGATTAGAGAAAAATCACCAAAATCACCAAATTACTAAATAATAAATTTGCTACTCTGGCAGTTTTTCTTAAATACGCTTTTAAATGCAGGACTTCAAGTTGTAATGGACTTTTACTTTTCTGTATTGAAGGACTTCTTCCAGCACAGGTCACACTTTCTCTAGACTTTTTTTGGACATCTCCTGCGTCTCAGCATTCAGGGCCCTGGATTAGATCATTCTTTTCTGTTGCAAAGATCAGCTTCAGTTCAGATTTGATCAAATTTAGAAAATATAACATCCCTTTGCAATGCTGATGACATGCAGCCACTTCTAAGTTGTCTTGATGGTGCCAAATGTTTCATGGTCCAAACTGTTCTCCAGCTAAATGATAGTATGACAGAGGTCCTCACAATCAGTCCTGCAAATAGTGTGGTTGATTTTCTTAGGCCCCTGATCTGGAGACTTTCTTATATGCCTTTATTTCATGTCCACTGTAATTCTCTTTATGTGAGAGTCAGGCAGTAATCCCTGTCTCACCTGAAGCTGCAAACACCTCAGTCAGCACTTTGCTCTGTAAATAAACTAATTTGACTTGACTCTTGTTTCCTGTCTGTAGGTGGAGGTCAGTGACGTGCTGGCAGAACCTGCTACACCTCGGAGCATCGACCAAGTGTGGATTTACAGTGTCACTGGCTTTGAGAGTGCTCGCGTCTGGACGTACCGCTGCCTCACCCTGCTGTTCGCCGTGCCCTTCGCTCTCCTCTGTGGCATCTTCCTGGCCGTTCTCGCTTGTCTACACGTCTGGTACGCCGGAAACATTACTGAGACTCATTCACCACATTACCACAGAAGATACACTATGAAACCGCAGTTAAGCTTAACTTATGGGTGCCTTGTGACCACTTAGAATTAAGTAATGTTCACTTGCAACCCATCATCAACGATTATGAATCTGTCTAATATCATTATGCTGATTAATCTCTCAGTCAATAAAATGTCATCAAATTTTATAAACGTAACTCGCCCCAGTTTCCCAGAATCAAAGGGGATATCTTTGAACTGATCGTTCTGCTTGAACAACAGTCAAGGTGGTTGGGAAGACGATACATTCCTTCCTTACGTAAAAGTGTCATACTTGAAATGACTCAAAATAAGATTCTCTTTCATTCACTATTTTTTGACTTTTTTGGTTAAAAGAATAGTTTGACGTATTGGGAAATGCATTTTCTCCCTCTGCTTGCAAAGAGTTACATGAGAAGATTGATACCACTCTGATTTCTGTTCGCTAAATATGAAACCGTAGCCGGGAGAGAGATTAGCTTAGCTTAGTTTAGCAGAAAGACTGGAAAGAAGTAATCTGTTCAAAGGTAACACAATCTGCCAACCACACCAAGCTATTCCTTCAACTCATTCTTTTATTCTCTATTCCTCTATTTCTCCTGAGCAGCGCTCCATCATGTTCCTGTGAGATTTAATGCTTTATCCCTCCTCTTTCAAAAACCGTAGTAAAGCTGGTCCTTTGATCTTATCTGAATGATCAAGGAAACCAAACTGGTTGTTACTGATACAATCAGATGAGAGCAAAGAAAAATAAACTTTTCTGCCAAGTGACAGGAGAGAAACTGTTGGGAAGATTGTTTTGGATAAGTTAAATGACAACTTGTTTTTTTTTTATTTTTTTTATGGGGAACAGTAAAATGATTAAATATCCATTTGTCACACTGTTAAAAACACACAAAGGTACTGCCATCACTTGTCATATTACCACACAATATAGAAAGCAACATCCTGTTGAGAATTTGAGCATGCATTAGAGTGGCAACTGTGGTTACCTTACTCCGGGATTTATGATTTAAAAGGTGGAACATTGGTCTATAAACATCACACACACCTGACCTCAGGCGACAGGGTCTTCACTATGAGTTACATCCTTAACCATTTACAAATTACATCTCAATCGATCTCTTTCTGTCGCTTCTCCTCTGATGCATCTGTCCTGACAGAGAGAGAGTTTGACACAGCCATTTGAATCTCCTTTTCTCTCTCTCTAGGTTTGTGGTGCCTTGCATACAGCTGAGCAACACCTTCCTTCCATGCCTGCGGTCCCTGTGTATGTGTGCTGTGAACGTGGTTATCTCTCCCTTTTGTATGTCTGTCGCACTCTGCTGCAGCCAAATCGCCCTTTCACTGTCTAACAAGGACTGGCATCAAATGAGGGACAAAGAGGCTGTAGGCGTGTGAGACACAGTGATACTGAATAAGTGAGTGACTGAGTGATTGAGAGAGAGTGAGAGAATTTAATTTAATTTTTTGTTTTTTTGTTATTAAATTGGCACAGTTCTGCAACCTGGTAATGTTACTGCTATTTGATATGTTTTCTACATGTAAAGCCAATTCCTAAAAAATATTATCATTATTGCCTTTCATTTTACACTGACCTCAGAGGTAATTCTGTTTAAAACTGTATCAATAAAATTAATATCAAACAAATCCTTGAGCATGTTTGTTTTGTTTTACCAAACAGAGTATGCAAACATAGTCTAGAAAAAAAGTTGAATCAGTCAATCAGTCAGTACTAAATGCCAGAGCTAAGTCCAGCAGAAATGTACAATTCTGGTAATTAGTTAATCAATTTCAAACACATGATGCAAAATACTGTTTGGAAACTGTAAAGGTGTTTTTTTCCCCCTGTTTTCTAACATTTTAAAGACCAATAATTGTAAATGTCTGTAACTGATATGTTTTACCATTTGCTGACTGATGGTTTGTTTTTGTTTCTTTTTATTTTATTTTAATTTTTAATTTAATTTTTTTTTCTTTAATTTCATTTCTGTTTGTTCATGGTTGTGTTATTTCCATTTTTTGGTGTTTAACAATTTGATAATTGCCATTGTTTTTTATAATGTCTTTATTAAGGAACTACGTATAAATTTTTGTACTTTTTGTTAATATTCTGATGACACAACAAACTGTTTTTTTCCCCAACCCCAATAAACAAAGTTAAAATAAATAAATAAATAAATACTACAAATTGATTAATTGTTTAAAAAAAAAAAAGATTAATTAATCGATTACTGAATATCTAATGAGGAAAATAATTGTTAATGTTACACTAATAGATTCTATGGCTTTCTCTCTGTTGCATTTTGATGATTTGAGTGAAGAAAATATACCTAATTTTACATCAATGCATTGCCTGTGCGGTCGCTGGTCTGTGTGCTCATAATTCCGTGGTGTCCTGAGGTACTTGAAGGCATCATATATATACATGCGTAGTAACTACCCAGCATGCAATTCGTCGTCGCCATTTTTCTTGTTGTGACGTGCTGGGAGATCTACCTTCACGGATCTGGAAATCTCTGTGTGTTATTTTAGTGTTGAACTCGACTTTCCGTTGTTTCTGTTTTAACGTTTCTTCTTAGCGAGTGTCAGAAACGAAGAAGGTGTCATGGCGCAGTACAAAGGAGCAGCCAGCGAGGCTGGAAGAGCCATGCAGCTCATGAAGAAACGAGAGAAAGAAAGGGAACAGCTCGAACAGCTGAAGCAGAAGATCGCAGAGGTTCCTAACTTTTTTTTGTACCTTAAATCATAACGTGTTTATCGGTCACTTTGTGTTACCACGCGCTAATACAGCCCCCTGTCTTTTGTGAAATATAATTAACCGTTATAATATGTAGAGGCCCCAGGACCCGCGAGCTGCCGGGTCAGTGAAGGGGCCACCGTTACTGATAATAGCAGAGTGATAACCTGTGAAATAAAGCTCCCATCTCTTGTAGGCATTCTCCTGTCAGTCACAGTGCCTCTACTTTATTCCTGCTCTCTGCTGTTTTCTCACAGGACAACATGGTCAAGTCTAACATTGATAAGAAATTCTCAGCTCACTATGATGCTGTAGAGGCTGAGCTCAAGTCCAGCACAGTTGGTGAGTATCTTTGCTGTTGTGGCACATAAATCCTCATTATTATAGGTATTGAAACACAATGTGATCCAAACAGTTTAACATATGATATGGTTGAGTTAACTGCACTTAAAAGAAAGCAACATGCAGTGTTAGTATGAAAATAAAGAAAACAAATGTGTCTTGTGAATTTAACATAATTTGTTAGTTTTTTTTTATGTGCATATATCCATATTACTCTTGTTTAATCACTTTTATGTATTTTATCTTTTGATCAGGTCTGGTGACACTGAATGACATGAAGGCCAAACAGGAGGCGCTGGTGAAGGAGAGAGAGAAACAGCTGGCCAAGAAGGAGCAGTCCAAGGAACTCCAGCTGTGAGTAGCTCAACATGTCTTGCTCTCTGTCACTCAATGGGTTTTGGTTGTTGATGTAGAGCACATGTCTCTGAGGGTGGCAGCGCTTGTCAGCTGTTTTGTTGAAGTTCCACACCTGTGAAAATCATTTTATTCTTCTGGGAGCAGAGACAAAACAATTCGTTGCTGCTCCTAGCAATGCAAAAATTATTGGGGGAAAATTCAACCACAAGCCTTGCTGTTTATCTCTTAAAGAGACATGTTGAAAGGGCTGTGCTCTTGTTTTTCATGGTTTGGACGAGGCTGCTTTACAGTATTCACAGCGAGGGAATCACAACTCACAATACAATACGATCCTGATACAGTCCCTATGATGATGATGGTATCACTATACAGCGATTCTGCAATACTTGATACATTACAAAACAATCATCTACATCATGATATCTGTGCAAGTGCTAAAGAAAAATCCCCCTAAAAAGGCAAAAAGTGGAAATCATATATTCATTCACTGCACTGTGGTGTCAGTTCACGGAATTCAACAACTGAGGTGAAACCATGTTCAACAAAGTGCATGGAGTCTTAGCTTAGTGTCTCTTTAACACACACACACACACACATACATACACACACACATAGACAATCAATCAAATCAATGCAAGAATGCACATTCCCCTCAAAAACATGGATAAACACTATTAAAGAAATTACACATTAACAAGCATGATCAACATGTGTATCACATATCAGTATTCAGACTTGCAGACTGCAGTCTCTGTCTCAGTCACCTTCCAGCTTTAATTCAGATGACAGAGAAATGCCCAGTGTGTAGCTGCATGTATGTTCAGTCTCATTAGCATCAGACTGCTGTCCAGTCCACTTCTCGTCATGAAGCTTGTGTGTTTATGCTCAGGTGTGTGTCGGTGTGTGTCAGTGTGTGTCGGTGTGTGTCGGTGTGTGTTGGTGTGTGAGAGTGGAAGACGCTCTCTCCATTAGAGGAAATAGACCGTGGCTGCTGACACAGCGCTGAGTAGTTATGTGTGTGTGTGTTTGCGTGCTGGGCAGTGTCTCTGGTCTGGCTGTGAGTGTGTGTGTGTGTGTGTGTGTGTGTGTGTGTGTTTGCGTTAGCTGTTACTTACCAGTCCAGGAGAAATGTTGTGAGTTCAGCATCAAACTTCATTTTTTTTTTAACTTTTACTCACCAAGAGCTGTCGTTTATATCACATATTTTCTTCTACTGAAGTTAGCATGCTAACCAGCTAGCTAATTTTAAAATATTTTCATTACTACTGTAATACTGTAAGAGTTGTGGCGTGAGAGTGTGTGAAAAGGGTCAATTGCAAGAGTCTCACACTCAGCCTTTTCTAGACTGAGAAGGAAATTGAATGTATTCAAAGACGTTTCTTTTATCTGTTTCCACATTGCTGATGGATCAGTAACTCAGTGACTCAATTTGGTCAACTCCTGATTTCCAGCAGGCTGTTTTCAAGTTGTCCTTAGTTGCACTTGCGCGTTTTTTATTGTGGATGTAAGAATGAAAGAATGTAACAAGCTGCAACATGAAAAAAAATTCAAAATAAAATCCAAATGGAAATTTATGTGGCTTATCCAGTATAATCGGAGCAGGATTGATGAGTGTTTTTTTGCCTTGGGAAGCAATCACAACGGGGAGCAACCTTTGTCGTAAGGGTTTGTATATCAAAAACAGTGTTTCCAGGAAACTCAACTAAAACTGTTTATTAAAAACATATTGTGGTAGTTCATTGTGTGTGTTCTTCTCTTTACAGCAAACTAGAGAAGCAGAAAGAGAAGAAGAGAAAAGAGGAACAAAAGAGGAAAATAGCTAGTTTGTCCTTTAATCCTGAAGATGAAGAAGATGAAGAAGAGGAGAATGAGGAAGAAGAGCAGGACTGTGAGTACTGATGATATTAGAAGCAGAACAGGACTGAGAATAAGCTGTTTTCATTTGATGCTCTGTGTGTGTCTGCTTTGGTTCATTTGTTGCGGCTCCATATGAATGTTCTAAGGCACTGCTTTGATCTGAAAGGAATAGTTTGTTATTTTGGGTAAATACGTTTATTTAAGTTAGATGAGAAGGCTGATGCCACTTGTCTTTATGTTAAAAATGAAGTCACCGTGAGAGTCTAGTGGAGGCCTGGACATACCCCATGCTATGCTGCAAGTCACAACTTGTTGGGTTTTGTGCAGATGAAACAAACAAAACAAAATGTGTTGATTTGTGGAGTGTGTGATAGATGGTAGTGTGTTTTTTGTCTCACAGATGTTCCAGCTAAGAAGAAACTGGGGAAGAACCCAGATGTGGACACAAGTTTCCTTCCCGATCGAGACAGAGAGGTGAGGTCAATGGGAATCGCACTTGTTTGAGACTTTTTCAGAGATACAAATCCTACTTGGTTATTATAATCTATGCTTTACGAGTTGCTCAGGATGCGTTTTGCTCTGTGTGTGTCATCTCATTGTAAATAAAAACTATAAAGACCAGTGGCGTTTATAGCTCTAAGTTAGGTCAACATAACTTTACCCATGTGCTGCTTGTGTGGGGGGGAATTTTCACTCATACAGTAAATACACTAGTATATTTTTTATTTTCATACTGTGACAGCTGATTTGTTTTGAGTCCAATCTTTAATTTCATGCAAGTGTAACATGGTCCTCTGATATAAACTGATCTTTTCACTGCACTTATTTGTGTGTTCAGGAGGAAGAGAATCGTCTCAGAGAGGAACTCAGGCAGGAGTGGGAGCTCAAACAGGAGAAGATTAAGAGTGAGTGTCAGGACATCCAAACACACACACACACACACACACACACACACACACACACACCTGTTTTATAAACAAAAAAGACATGGAAATCTACCTTAATACAACATGGGATATTAAAATTCAGCATTGTATCTATGTTTTAAATATAATCACAAGCAAATATTCAGATGATAATGTCCCATATCTGACTAATGTCTCAGCTTTGGAGGTTTCCTCACTTCCCTGTCTATTCACGGCTGTGAGTACAAACATGAACACACTCACTCTCAGTGTAATAATGGTGTGTCTTTGTCCCCAGGCGAGGAGATTGAGATTACATTCAGCTACTGGGATGGTTCTGGACATCGTAAGACTGTCAAGGTAAAGCATGATGAGCTTCAACACTAATTCATGGGGATGTGGCAAGTCACCTTCCTTAGAGTTTTGATAACAGGGCCGAATCTATAGAGACATAACATTACACATTCCCATAATCCCTCTTTGCAGATGAAGAAGGGTAATACCATCCAGAACTTCCTGCAGAGGGCCCTGGAGGTCCTCAGGAAGGACTTCAGTGAGCTCAGGTGAGGCAAAGAGTGTCAACTCAACATGTACTAACACCATTAATGAATGAATGAATGAGTCAAAGCCATGATAATGATAGGTCGTCATCCTTCTGCAATTTCCTCTGTTACCAAACAGACTGTTACTGTCACAGAGCCCAGACCTGAACCCCATCCAACACATGGGATGAACTGGAAAGCCAACTGTGAACCAGCTGGCTCTCCAGTTCATTTGGCTTTTTCTTTGCATTTTCTTTTATCTGTTTCCAACGTGCGTAAGACTCAGAAACTGTAACGTGACAGGTCAGACAGATTGGTTAGCTCCTGATTTCCATCAGACTGTTTTCCAGTTGTCCTTAGTTGCACTCTCCCCTTTTATTGTGGAAAGCATCTTTTCTAAGAATGTAACTGGCAGTGACATGAAATAAAGAGGGAAATTTATGAGGCTAATCCAGAACAATTGGAGCAGGACTAACAAGTTACTAATAAGTGCCTCTGGAAGTAGTCATATCCACATTGACAGGAAACAGTCTTTGTCTTAAAGGTTTGCATGGGCCATGTTTCCAGGAAGCTCAAAACCAATTTAAAATGAATGAAAACTTAGCCTGAGGCAGCTAATCACCAGGTGCTAAGAGTAAAATCTTGTTTTGCTGAAAACTAGTTTTTCTAAGAATGTACCATTGTACACCATCATTGACATGATAAAATGTAAAAATGAAAATCCAAAGGGAAATTTATGAGGCTAATAAATAAATCTTTTCATTCTTCTGTTTTGCCAAATAAAAGCAGGATTTAATTTCATGCTAAGATTAAATATCACTTAACGAGTGTGCTTTTAAAGATGAGCTTGTTTTATATGTTTTTTAATCTCAGAAGACCGCCCAGCGGCTCATAGCACTGGGACAGGAGACAGGACATTACAACTACAGAAAGTTTTTCTAGCAGATTTCTTAATTTTTTTATTGCAGTGATTGCAGGGTAGAACAGGGTTGTAATACACCGTGCACCTTGCTGAAAAAATCCCCTGCATTTTTACGCCTCCGCGCCGGCGACAGACAAAGCCGATATCTCAGTAACACCCTGACGGAACGTCTTCAGATTTGGCGCAAACATTCACTAGGACTCGAGGATGAACTGGTTAGACTTTGGTGGTCAAAGGTCAAAGGTCAAAGGTCAAGGTAGCTATTACTCAAGACTTCACACAGAAATTACGACAAAAGTTCACACAAATGGTAATAGTCATATTTTATGACTCTGGATAAACAGGGATGTAATCTGGAAGCAGTCTGAGTGGGGGAGGGATACAGCCACGAGGCGGTAATTCTAGTTGTATGTCTGTTTGTGTCGGCCAGCCCAGAGCCTTGATCATTGCCCCCCTCTCGCATTTTTCATATTCTACTACTGTTGGTATTAATGTGGTGTAAGACCATAATCTGTGAGGATTCATAGGTAGGTAAATAAAGCTGTTGGGGCTCAAAAAGGTTGAGTAGCTCTGTTCCGCCTTTAACTGTATGTCAACACTTTGTGTTTGGCCCGTTGCTGTTTCAACACGGCACCTTCGCTGTGCACAAAGCCGGGCTCAGAAAGAAATGTTTTACTGGTTCTTCACAGCCCGTCCAGTTTTAAACTTTGCTATGATGAAGTTAAACATTTGCCGTCTGTCTTACTACAGCTAGGAGTTGCCATAGTTACCAAATCCCTCAAAACTAGAGAAATGGGTCCGTCTTTCATCTGGAATGGACCATCACATAATGTTACACTTTATGTTGACTGGACTGCATGTCTCCTCTGTGCAGGTCTGCTGGAGTGGAGCAGCTGATGTACATCAAAGAGGATCTGATAATCCCACATGTAAGTTCCTGTCTGTGTTTAATGACTGTCAATGACTGAGACCTGAACCGAAGCTGAACCGTTGCTTCACTGTTGCTTCACTGTTGCTTCACTGTGTTTTGATTGGCTTCATTTCACCTCTTATAGCATTCATGTGTTCCAGCAGATTCTGCACCTTTTCATGATCCAGCAGTCATAAAGACACATTTCTAGATGCACTTTCTGGCTGCACTGGTAGATTTCACACTTTAGTCCAATAAAGTTGTAACAGCACTAATTACTGAACCAGACATGAGGCAATAAAGAAAATATTTTGTGAGATCATCCTTTTAAATGGTGTTTTTCAGTCTTTAAATATCTTCGTACCTTCTCATTTTGTCTCATTTAGCACCACAGTTTTTACGACTTCATCGTGACCAAAGCCAGAGGCAAATCTGGTAAGTGAACTCCACCAGCATCCAGACCGGAGAGATGGTGTCTCGTGATTTGTTTTTAGAAGTGAAAAGGCACGGTTTTCTGCACAACATATGGAACAATGTGTAGTTCTTTCCTGTTGTGTTTCCTGCTTTTTCACTCAGTTTATCTTTTTCCCACAGGTCCGCTGTTCAGCTTTGACGTCCACGATGACATTCGACTCGTGAACGACGCCACTGTAGAGAAAGATGAGGTGAGGTGGATAAAGAGATCATGAGAAAGTGAACAATGAACCAATGTCAACCATGAAGCTAAAAGAAACTGAGATGACCAATAGATTTCTTTTGATTTGTGTTGAAAAAAACCACAATGAACCAGAGGAAACTAATCCACAGCTGTCCAGTTTAAGTTTAAAAATGTTCAACATTTCTGTTACTCTCTGTTCAGTGACATTGTCGGATGAAATTCTAGGATCCGTTGGTTAATTTGGCTTCTTATATTTCATGATGGGCTGAAACATGATACAAGGAACAAAATATAAGATTTTTTTCATGTAATTTTCTTGCAAAACTGATTTCTACGATTCATATTCAAAATGCAGCTGTAGCTGATGTGACTGTGAAGCCAACTTCTCATGCCACTGGGCAAAGTAGAACAAGTCAACGCCCAGAGTCATGTATTTATTTATTTTATTTGTGCCTCCCTCTGTGCAAAGTCGTATTTCATGTTCTTCACTATGGCAGACACTTTCTTGCTTGCATCTTTATTCTGACTAAATTCTTCAAACATGAGCCCTCTCCCTCATAATTTACACGGGCAGTTATTATTTTAAAACTCACTGAGCACTACAATTCAAGATACAGATGTGAAACACCTGGGCTACCAATGATGGGCTCTGCCCATAAAGATGAGTCCGACCTGGACTTTTCCTGCATTTAAAAGTCACGTGAAAAGTAACTGAGTTGTGCTGTTTTCGCCTGAAGTCTCACGCAGGTAAAGTGGTGCTGAGGAGCTGGTACGAGAAGAACAAGCACATCTTCCCTGCCAGTCGCTGGGAGCCATACGACCCTGAGAAGAAATGGGACAAATACACAGTGAGAATCTTTTTTTTTTTTGCTAAATGTCAACACGCTTCATTTTCAGCAGTAAATTACTTCATTTCCCTGAAGGGAACGTTCAAGGTCCCATCTAATCTCAAACCTGATCAGTCTGCTAAAACACTGTTTTTTCCATTTTAATTTGATTTTCATGGTAAATCGACTCTTTTCTCAGTAGGAGGCAGCTGTTTTTAAAGAATCTGATAAACCAGCTTAGTTTAGTTTAGTTTATTGATTTTATTTAAAAGGGACAACGCAATTTAACACAGTTCCAATACAAAGCGTTTATAGCTATTGCTAATTTTCAACTCTTGCCACTAGTGGGGCTTTTACATGTGCAGTGTAATTAAAATAGTCGTTTTACATTATCATAAAACCACAATACACTACAGATATGAAATTAGAGTAAAATACTATATGTATACTGAAATGCATTGATTGTGATGTACAGTCTAAGAACAGACAACAACAAGAACAGAACAAACAAACTGACGAAACAATTAATAATGTAATAAATTTAGCTTAAGATGTACAGTGGAGCATTTAGCCGCCAAAGAGAGATCAACTTGAACTTAGATTCAGCAGGTGGACAGAAACACAACTAACTAATTAACTAATTAATTGTGTCCATTACGGCCACGTCTACTGGTTCTTCAAACCAGGTGTGGCCAAAAACACTAGTGAAGCAACACAGAGTGTACGACCTGAGGCAAAAAAGAGCGGGAATACACGGGAGAGATAAATAATGGTGTTCAGAAACAGAGGATGATTAACTGCCATGAAGCCACTGATGTTCATGATTTGGAAAGAGAGACCGTGTTCGTCAAGCCTCCTCTACCATCCTTGATCAGAGAGGAGAACTGCCATTTGTCAGGTCACAGAGTTGTCCGTGACTAAAGCTCCCGGCTTCAGGTTCACGTTCGTGAGTGAAAACAGCAGGTTCACAACTTGGAGCATGAAGTCCCGCTGCCAGAAATCAGCAGGCCGATGTAGCAGTAGCATTGTCAGTACGGAGGACCAGAGACGTGTCGTCAGAGCAGCTCCGCACTGCGACACTCGTAAAGAGAGAAGGATTTAACATGAAGTTAGATGTGAAAAGAACAAATAACTAATATGAGAGGTGGTCATGTGACAATCCTGGTGATATTAGCATAATAATATGATAGAAGGTGTTGCTGCATCATCAGGTGTAACAGAGGATGATGCATTAAGAACCTGAGACAGCTGAGTGCACAGTCATAGACTTTCCCAACTTCTACTCTAAAGTTTCTGTGCTGAAATTTGACTTTAAATCTCTTTTTAAATATATATATGTATATATATATATATATATATATATAATATGCTGAGCACAATGTTAATTTTGCAATAAGTAATATTGATAAAATTTCGGTGTCATATTTACTCCAGAAGTCATTATGATGTGAGGTCAAATAAGGGTTTGCCCTGCAGAGAGTCTGTGACTCATGACAGGTCCGGACCACTCATGGACTTCTGCACATGCCTGACAGAACTACTCTAGTATTTTTTACAATGAAATAAATCTTCAGTCAAAACCTGTGTTCATGTCCCAAAGCAGTAATGATAAAAGTATTTATTTCCATGGGGGAACTGGATAAGAAACTGTGTGTGTGTGTGTGTGTGTGTGTGTGTGTGTGTGTTGCATTTTGAGGGAGTGAGTCCTGGTGGAGATGCCAACTCTCTTGCATGGGCACGCTACGACATAGCAGTTTTGGTCATGATGTGTGTGAGTAACCCCACATTTTGTTTTCTTTTTGTTTTTCAGATTCGATGAAACGGCTCTCCCCTCCTCTTCTGGAATCTCTTGTGCAAACTCTTGTTGTTAATTTCCATCTCATTTTACACTGTTACACCATAGTTCATTAGTGCTTTTTATCAAGATTTGATAAACTATTGATTCATGATTTTACTTGGTATTTGAAATACTAGTTTTTTCCCCAAAGTGATTTGAATTACAATGCAATGTTTCCTGTGAAAACAAGCCCACATCCATATGTATATAGCTCAAAAAACATATTGCAGCATCTGTGCTTAATAAAAGGAACCTGGACTAATGACTAAAGCTTTACTGCATTTGGCACCAACACTCCTGTGTGTGTCTGTTGAATGTGAATATGCTCTCTTTGATATCCTAGTTGTGTTTGAAAGCGGAAACTGTCTCCTGCTCCCGAATCACGAAAAGAATCCAGTGTGGCTTCGAAACTGTTAAAACATGTCCAGTGAGCTCGCTGGCCGCACCTCCACCCTAGCCTACAGACACCACACCCCTCAACGTCCTTCTCCCTCCTCCCTCGCTCCTGTCACTCACATGGCGCTGAAGACACAACAGGTTTCACTTTGCGACTGCTGGCTTCTTACAAGTCCAGGTCAGTGAGGAAGTGTGTAATTGTATAATATATATATATATATATATAAATGTGTGTGTGTGTGTGTCCGTGAGTTTTAGGTCATTGGACATGTCATGCTGGCTGTAGCAGCATGTGGAGGGCAGCTCTAGTTTTGTACCAGTTCTTGACACTCAGTCAGCCTCTCTGGGCTCAAGATGATGTCGCAGGCGCTGCTTTCACTCCTCAGGATTGCAGTCTGGACTGTATCCGACAGGTGAGCCAGTTTACACCTGCTCTACGTTTACCGTGCTCTGTGGAAGCTTTGTGCTACAGTTTTGTGTGTAACATCGATATTGTATTAGGGTGTCTAATCCAGGAGGATTTCTGTGTAGCCAAACTAATAAAATGTTACAGCTGACATGGAGTAAACTACTGGTGAGGTCTGCTCTGCTATAAAACAGGCTGTGTCTCCTCAGCTGCATCTGTTTATTTTGGCTGTTACGTACAGTGGAGGAGCTCAGACAGAAAACCTACAGTTAATGTTTATGGTTTAATGTCCATTAGAAAATGTTCTGAACATTTCTGAAACTGTGCAAACATTAGATTCGTGGGGTCTTTATTCTGCCACATTGTCTGTCCTCTGTCTAACACAGTAGTTTTGTCAAATTGGGATATAAGCGTTATCCAGAAACCTGTGGAAAAATTATATGTGAAATATACAATGCATCATTATTCGGTTGTAAAAATGTCTGAAGATAAATCTTAACAAGTTTAGAAAATTAATCTTTGGCTTTTTTTTTTTTAATGTGAATTACTAGAAAATTACACCTGATCACAAAGGAGCAGAAAAAAAAATCTAATTCCTTGGTTGATCTGGTTATAAGCTGGAGCATGTACCTCCAAGCCACATCTGCAGCTTGTGATGAAAAAAACAGCTTTATTTAGGAGGAGTCACAAGTTGTAATCAACAAGTGTAAGTCTAGAAAGATCTGTTTCATCTTTAAGCGGGAGGCTTCATGTTTTCCTAACAGAAAACAGCAGGGGCTTGAGTATTTACTACTCTTTCTGAAAATTCTGTTCCTCTGGAGCATGATATTTATGCCTCTTCACTGAGGAAAGGTTGTATTGCAAAGCCCTTTATTGCCCACATCCTGTATCTACAGAGGCGATAAAACATCCACCTTTGCTGAAACTTGTAAATCAGACCTCTTGTGACACATACTTACCTGGTCTTTCTCAGATCTGTTTGAAATGACATATAGTTCACATAGACTCAAATAGGTTACTCCAGGCAGTAGATTATGATGCCGTCGCTTGTGTGAGCCTCTGTGTGCTGCAGCCTGTGACAGAGAGTCGTTAACTTACAGAAACAGCAAGTCGACAGAGGAAGAATGCGAGGTTGCCATGTTGACTCTGAACTCTAAGGTTATAGTTTTTTCTTTGGCTGCATGTCAACTTCTTTCATTCTGTGAATAGAGTAGGGTTTTATTTTCATTTTTTTAAAAAACAACAAACTCTTTCGTCTCTTGTGTGGCTACTGAGTGTAAACACACACACACACACACACACACACACACACACCACACACACACCAACACACACACACACACACACCACACACACAGAGTTGTTAAAATCTTGCAGGTGTTGTCTTTTTGATCCTTCCACTTCTCAGTTAGTCATGCATGCTAAGCACGTTGATTATGGCATCTCATCAGTTTGCGTGCAAGTCAGTATTTAGGCCACTGAGACTTCTGACGGCTATTACCCTCACTTGACAGTTTAACTACCTTTGTGTGAACCAGCATACACGTGGGTGCATGCACACACACACACACACACACACACACATAGTGTTTCTCTTCTCATGCCTCAGGCAGACGCAGCATTTCTTCCTCTCATTTTCTCCACCTGTTAGTCTAGTTAAGGTCTCTAAACCTGCAGGCAAGTTGTCAGTGTTTATCAGAGGTGGAGGACGTACTCAGACCCTTTTACGTAAATAACAGCAATGAAAAAAATACTCAAGCACAGATAGAAATCATTCTATACAAGTATTATCAGCTAAATGTTACTTAAAGATACAAACATATAAGTACTTGGTTCCTGTTGCTGATATATTATGTTTTACATTATTACACTGTTAGTTCTCATGAATAAAACTAGTCCAGTGGTTCCCGCAGCGAGGGGTCGGGTCCCACCAAAGGGTCATCAGATAAAGCTGGGTCATGAGATGAAAGAAAAGATCGTAGTCATTTTTCTTTTGTCATTCCTCTTCCTGTTTCCTGCTGTTTGTGAAATATCTGATAACAGTACCACCCTGGGCCTGGACCAGTGATTTAAATGAAACCATGTGAGAGGGTCAGAGAGAGAATAATTTGGTTGAGCTGCAAAACAACTGGCAGACATCTGAAACCTGTGACAATGGGCCCCCAGATACAGATTTTTATTTGAATTTGGCATAG